TCAAGTATTTTTTCAGATCATGCTGCCTGCCTTATACATCACAGAAAATAATTTGCTTAAGAAATGTATAGATTAATTTCCTAAGATCACAAGAATACTACTTGTGGCAAAGCAAAAATTTATTAAGTCCAACAACATAGTAAATATCCAGGAAATTGAAGAAAGAAACACAGAAATGGGAAGCCAGTCAAGTTCCCTAGCAAGCCTGATGATTATAATCAAAAGGTTAATTCAATTAAGGTGTTCTATTAACAAACAGACAAATTTACACTTTGGATGATAAGATCTTTATTTGACAGCATGCTGTATAGTTTTCATTGGTTTATTTACCAGACCATAGTTATAATCTTATTGATCTTCAAATGTCAACCTATCTTCAGATATAACCTACAAACCTGATGTTTTAAAAAGGATGGCTAGGGTGTGCCTTGGTCACTCCAATCCCATTAAATGCAAAGATGGATTTAACCTACTTAATTGGCATAAGAGGAATGGAAGCTGCTTTTGCCTGTCATACATAAAATAAATCAAGAAATAGGGTAACATGATAGAAAGATTGTTAGCATCTGGATACTAACATTTCAATATGTAACACAATCATTTGAAATATGATATCTTTAAAAACAAGAGGGATTGTTTTTCAGCAACTGGCTTCAATCATGGTACCATAAAGCTCAAAGCAATGCCAATATGTGGATGTCTTGGTGTATTGTAAAATGACCAACTTTGCTTTAATTTAGCTGTACCACAAAGCCCCTCAAGCAGACAGCTAACCTTACAGCCATTTAATGTCCTATACAAAAACCCAGACAATTCATGAAGAACTTTTAAAAAATTGTCTGAAAAATAATCAGGAAAATTTACTTGTATCACATCTTGGATGAAAGATTTGTTCTATTAGATCATGGTGTGAATAAAGGTAATTAATAATTTGCAAACAACCAAAAGGTTCACTAATAGCCTAAATAAAACTAAATCTTTCACTAATTGTTTACTAATTATTAATAATCTTGCTTGTTAGTAGTTTTAATGTTGCGTGATATATCAGAGGCATACAGACTTCTAATTAGGAAGTAAATTACCATTGTTTGAGAACTAGAATGTGATTATTCATTATATGTGAAATACTGACTGTGTGGTCTACCACAGGAAGTGGTGTGACCAAAATGACATTTTCTTGGGAATAAAAATGTTGCAAATTAAAAAAGAGTATAAATAAACTAGAGGATCAGAGATGCGATACTGTCTCCAGGTATTGTACCACCAGCTAGAGTTAACACATTCGGTACGTATGGTACAAAAAAAAAGGGACACCACCATTTGTTTAAAATTACACTTTATAACAAAATCATGGGAAAAAGTAAAAGGTCAAATCCAAATTTGTGAAGTGCAGTTCATTGCAAAAGGTAGATCAAAGGTCACAATTAGATTGCCAGGATCCCAGATAGCAANCACAATTAGATTGCCAGGATATATAACTTCCTATTCCTGGCATATCTCTGCCAGTTTTGGAGATAAAAGGGACAGAAAATTTGCAAGGTTAATTCACGGTGAAAAGGAGACCAAAGGTCTCAGTTAGATTGCCAGTGTATGACTTTCTATGCAAGTTCAATAATAAATATGGTCGTATCATTGCCAGTTTTGGAGATATAAGGGACAAAAAAGTTGCAAACTTCAGTTCATAGTGAAAAGTAGGCCAAAGGTCAATTTCAAGGTCACAGTTAGATTGCCAGTGTCTGACTTCCTATTCAAGTTCAATAGTAACTATGGGCATACCTCTGCTAATTTTAGAGTTATTTCACATTTTATTTTCATCACTGAATATTGCAACACTGTACTCTTTGATATAGCGCAACTCGTAAACCATCTATCCATCTGGATCGATCTATCTCCCTGGAGAGTCTCACTAAGTTGCTGTCAACTTAACTGGCTTAATTGTCTGTCACGCCTACCAAATCAGCTAGGGTAAAGATAATTACCCCCTAACAGATTTACTAAGCGTGACAGAGATTTAAGCCGTTTAAGTTGACAGCAATTTAGTGAGACTCCCCAGGGAGATAGGTTGATCCAAATATCTGTGGGAATGGTCCCTAAAACTGTCGCCTACGCTGGTGGTACAATAAAAACTCAACTCTTCATTACCCTCCAGTACTGTTTCATGCATCTAGAGATGTAATCATCCTTTCAGTGCAGGAAACAGTATAGTCAGTATAGCAAGGTAATTAGTTCTTAATTTTACCTATTTATTAATACTTGCATCTGCTTAAAACTTTGTCAAACACTTTTTTCAAAAAAAGTTTGACCTCATTTTATAAAGCAGTTGCTCTCAGCCTTTTTCAAATTTTACGTAATAAAAGCTGTACCTAAAAAATTACATAAACAAAATGAAAAAAAGGTGCTCAACAAGATAAAATCTATGATAGATATGTAATAAGACATGGTATAATGTTGAAAATCCAGTGTCAAGAGGCTAAAAAGTAATGACTGAAGAATCGAGGCTTCACGATCAATCAGTGACTCGGTTTTGCCGTAGGTGTCTCTTACATTGTGTTTATAATGAAAAATGAACAAAGTATAACACTAGTATTTTAACTGCCCGAGATTCCTTAGAAGTCCAATTATCTGAAGGAAGTTCATCCTGAAAGTTGCAGGAGATCAGGATATGTGCACCTGCTTCTACTATAGTACTCTGTTAAGAAAAAGTAAGGAACAAAAAATATTAACAATGTCATATTCCTCCTTTAGCAGCTTTCCATGAAAGCAGCTGCCTATAGCAGAGCATAATAGCACTTAACTGTAGGAACAATCAGCAAAGTCTTCTTTAAAGATCAATTTCTCATCACTTAGACAAAATTGTCCCTAAAATTAGTACTGAAATGCAACATTGTGATTCTTCAAATCTTGGTTGAACTAAAAGCATGCTCATGAAAAAAAAGGGGGTGCTATCAAAATATCAGAAAAAAAAGTATCAAGATATTACTAATACACTTAATTTTTATACTTAAATACAGCTCAATTCTATATGCAGTTTTTAAGGATCTATTTCAGTACATGCATTCACTATAGCTAAATATGATAGTTTCAAGGACATAGTATCATTATAAATCTTCATTCAATACTTCAAGAAAGGCAATCTGAACAGCTGATCTTGCTTTCTTGGAAACTGCACATGCAAGAAATTTTAATGGAGTAAGAGGAGCTGCTAATCATCATACAATATATTAGAGCTGGTACATGCACATTTACACATATACCAGACAACTCTATTGACAAGTCACCAAATAACATGTATGTCTGCCCACCCACCCTCCCTCTACATGTGAGACACAAACATAAACAAATATCCAGATGCTACCAGAGCCATTTATCATATCACAGACAGGATTTCTTCACTTAAGTGTATTTCTACCTCCAAACACCACACAAGTAAGTGACAGTTCGGCTGTTTGACTTATGCATACATAGAAACAGTGCTGCTTCATGTTTACTTAAAAGGCATAAGTAGACAAAAATAAGCATCTGATGAGGTCGAAGAAACCAAACTAATCCAGAAACCTAAAACATATGTACTTTCTTCGAATTCTGTCAGGTGGTCAGTTAGCCAGTTAATTTCCAGATGTAGATGCTGCCATCTCTACCACCATGTTTACAAATATGGAATCTTCAACTAAGTGAGTGGCAGAAGTGCAGTCTGATGGAGAAGAGGGTGGCTACTTGTACATAAATGTGTTAGATATGGAAGTGATCTAAACAGAAAACTGATCCGTCTTCCTGTGAGACCAAAAAACACAAAGTTTAAATGAATAATCAAAAGCTGGTTAATTAAGAATTTTATCAACCTCAGAAATATTCAAAAGCAAAAACTATGTAATTTTCCTATAAATCCACTTTCTGATATAGTGGTCCAGAAATAGGGGTGAGACTGCATACAAGAGGCAGAGACTCTTTCACTTTAACGTGACCAGATAACTGAAACATCTGGATATAAAATACCAAAACAGTTTGAGATGAAGCACTGACTATATACATCCTGCCAGCGAACTACAAAAACCCTTAGTTAAAAAAGCGGGCCCTTAATTTGTGTAATCTGAGCATCAAATGATGTCAACTAGACTATTTCTAGTTTTGACTAATGTGGTAATGAACCAACCCAGAAAGGGTTGGACACAGTAATGTAGAGGAGTTAATTTGTTCTATTGTGCAGTTGACAGTACATATTGTCAAAGGCAAAACTACACATTGAAATGTTACCCCATTGCTACTATTGAGATGAATGATGGAATGTGTCTGAGACTGAAGTCTATAATGCTGTAGTTGGGACAGTCATGAAGAATGCATTTCTTCATCAACTTTTTGTAACAGTCCACACAATTATATTACTGACGTTTATTTTATTCATACTACATTGTCATGAAACTGTTTGCATTCCTAATTATGTATACTGAGCACAAGAGAAAACCTGGAATTTACAGCTTTAGTTTTACTACATTACATTTTACTACATTCATCTCTACTGATTACGATAAATTAACAGGTATGGTTCGTATAATTGTTCCTGAAAAAATAAAGGTAACATAAATCGACTAAGTCAATTAAAAAAAAGAAAGTAATGATAATAAAAGGTTTGATTGAGCACATTGTAAATTAATAACCAATAAAAACCTGTCGTGGCTGTGTAAATAAAATCTAACTAGAAAAGCACTCCGAGAGTGCAGACAGTAATTTTTTATTATTATTGATTATTGATTATTGATTGATTGACTGGATCACCACCAAAAACTAATCATCTGTTCCTTGGCCCACTTCTGACAGTTCCTGAAAATTTCATCAAAATCGGTCCATAACTTTTGGAGTTATGTTGATGACAATCAGACAGAAAGATAGACAGACAAATGGGTGAAAACATAACCTCCTTGGCGGAGGTAAAAATGGAAAGGCACAGCAAAACAACATACATCTGTATACATTGAGTCAAGGCTGAAAGAGAAGGTGGTACTTACTATTCTTGCCACTAGATCATCTCTAACTTCATTCATTTTGACTGGACCTTTTCCTTCACCTTCCACATAATCTGTTTGACAAAGACACATTTGACAAATTTTTACTGACTGAAGATGATTACACATGATATTCTATGCTCTTATTTTATCCTATTAACTTCTCTGATCTATTCTTGGCAAGAACTGTATCTTTTTACACCTTTTTTAAACAAAATCTTAATTAACAGATTGTTTCAATGCATTTATCTAAAATACGCCCACAACTGACATATTGTCTTCATAATAATCAAGCTGCACTATCACATCTCAAAACTAAAGAAGTTTATGAATATTTTAAATTTTGAAGAAATTTAAGTATACATCACAGATGTCATGAAAAAAAAAAAAAAAAAAAAAAAAGAAAAAACGGTTACCTAATATCTTTTCTATTTTGAATCTGGTGTCCCTGTATCCCTCAATCTCATCTGCATGCTTCCAGCCCCTGCGATGGACCAGGCGAATTGCAATACAGAAATGGTGGTTGGGAAAAAGGATTTCATCATCCAAATTGGCAACAGGAATTGTTACCTTATCTGAAAGTAAATGGTATTTTTTTTTGAGAGAGAGAGAGAGAGAGAGAGAGAGAGAGAGAGAGAGAGAGAGAGAGAGACTAAATCAAAAATTGCATTTTGTTAAAAAATCAATATTAATAATGAAAAACCATTAAAAACTAACCTTTAATTTCTCCAAAAACCCCAGCCATCACACATCTCAATGAATCAATTGTTCTTGCTATGTTGCTTGAGCGTATACTGCAATCAAGAGAGCAGTCTGTGACTATCTTTTCCACAGTAAATCTTTTCAAGTAAGAGAAATATGTACATATAGCTTACTGCTTTAAGAAAAAGTTCAACATAAATCATTTATTACAAAATGAAAATAATTCAATACAAAAAGATACTTCATCTTCAACCACCTGACAATCCTATTATCATTTATCTTGAATTTAATTGGACTCACAACACTTGATCTGGTCTGTACTCAGATTCCACCAGTCCATGCTTTTCAATGTATCTTTTGCGCAGGGTCATTCCTAGAGCCACCATCTGATCAAAGCCAAGAGTGGACAGTTGTCCTGGATAGGCCCCACCCTGAAATATGTCAAAGATTTTGATAACATTCTCATATACTTACTTACTAAATGGTGTATCTTCTGCTTTGTATCAAACAGAAAGGACCAAAACCAAACATTCAGATATATTGCTGTAGATTTTAAGATCTTTGGCAACTGCAGACATTAAACAATAATGTCATGAACCTAAGGTGTCATTTGGTCTATCAAAAAAATAAATAAATAAAAAATAAATAAATAAATAAATGTTAATAAAATAAAATAATGTAGATTGTTAGAAAGAACTGGGAATTTTTTTTTGCTTGCAAAACTTGAAATCCAATGAAATAAATTCTCTAGATAAAATCAACTTGTAAATGAAAGGTTATGAGAACAACATTTGTGCCACAATGAATTACCTGAAGTTGTTTCTTTCTGTAAGTATCTTCTATAGTAGTATCTGGTCTAGGTCCTCCATCCAAGTAAGTGATCTTATAGTTTTTAACATATGGGCACTCTGGGGTTAGAGATTTGTCATATGTTGCCTGAATAAATAAAACACTAACTTACAGCTAAAACTGGACACTTAAATAGTGTTTTCAATATGTCATTTTTAAACCATGGTAAATCAACATCTCAGAACAGAAACTGATAAGGTAGAATCAAGGTTTCTAACAGTAATAAAATAATATGATTTAGTAGAGAAACCAACTAGAATTTCTTCTGATAAAATTTTATGTGTGTTTAACACTTAGATTGCCATAACTAATTCAATTATCGGATTCTTAAGTTTTTCTGTTTTGCTATCAGATTCATAGCCAGATTGTGTATGATTCATTCTACAATGAAGTCTACAAAAAAGTATAATTCTGAGTTTCATTTCTCATTTTGTTTGCTTAATTTGAATATGATACCATCAAACAAAAAATGCTGGGTTTGTCAAACTAGAAGAATATCATTTGTACAATTGAACATGATATACACCCAAAAGCACCCATGTACCTAACAATAGAAAATATTTTTTCACCAGGAATGGTAACAAGATTTTGACTCACTAAAAGATATGTAAATAAATTTCAAAGTTCCGTCTGTTCTTTCTTTACATTGTATTCAAATATCAGCCATCTTACCTCAGGAACGTTAGGGGTCAGTTTGATAGGAGTTCTGGCTCCATGGCGAAATAAAATATGAACATTTTTCAGCTTCATATCATTATGGTTTGGTCCAACTTCTTGAGCCTGAACAGTGAGGGTAAAGTTTTGAGCTATCAGTTTCATTCCATAGGCTCCACATACTGCAGAACCCAAATAAAATAGGGTCTTCTTGTATATACTTGGCCTTTGCATTGTCCCTGAAAAAGAAAAGAATCTTAAAATAGATATATGTCATGATATAACTCAGTCAGTAAGAAAAGCAGATTGTATTTCTTATACAGTACTGGTTTATTTTTATGTTTTCTGTTTTTTTTTTCATATGAATGAAATCTTAAATCAAGGCATTTCAATTAACCACACTACCTCAAAATAGTTGTTTTCAAGCTTTGCTGTCTTTAAGGTCACCTTGAAATACTGTATTTAAAACATCAACCAGTTGTGCCAGGAAAATACTTTACAATAACTTTTTCAGCCACTTGCCCTGTCCAAACTGGTAACTTTCCACTGAGTCCATAACAGTAGGCCGATAGATTAAAATGGGCTGACATTTAACAATAGTGGCTATAGTTGACCCAAAGTCCAACAGAGTGACCAGTGACAATGATGCCTACCCAACCAGAACTAAATGATAGCTAAAAAGCCTAGGATTACAAAATGAGACATGTGAGGCTTGCAAAATGGAAAAACAATCTTGAGTTCAAATCACATACCTTCATGATACTAGCAATTGCATTTAAACCAAGGTTAGCCAGAGAATACAATTTATCAGAATTCTTAAGAGATTGGGTTTTCCGTCTCTGTAGTTACTGAAAATATACATGTTAAAATATGCTGTGCAAGCGTGCCACTCTGGGCTGAAAAAATGCCAAACCAAAAAAAAAAAAAAAAATTCATACAGAAAAGCTTTCTGAAGATACTTTATCCGGAAATCTCTCATAAACAAGCACAGTGTCACAAAATCTTAAAAAGTATATACTACCAGTACCTGTATGGAAAGACAAAAACTGAATCACTTATTGCAATAAGTAAAGGGACACGTCAGGTACACTCAGAATTTAAATGCTGAACTGATAGATCTGCAAAGACTTTTAAGCTCTCAGCTCTCACAAATTTTTAATCTATAAACTTCATTGCCTTAAACTATTTTAAAGAACTGGTGGGTTAATGACAATGTGTCCTTCCAAAATGGGAATGTCTCAGAGGTGTACTTTGCTGAATAACTGCCAAATAAAATGAAACTTCACTCAAATCCTTATTAATCATCATACATACCTATTTTGGCAGACACTTATATTGGCATGACACGTGCCCTGTCTTAATAAGCAGGATGCTGTCCTTGATTTACGGTAATGGCTCAATCTTTTCAATGGAGAAAAATTATCAATTTTTCAGTGCCACAATTTTGGAATGATAAAAAAAAAATTCTGTGAAGTATTTGTAGTGCTTTTACTGTAAAGAATAGAATCTTTAGGTAGCCTGACTTTGAGTTTTATTGCAACCAATCAAAAAAGAAGTTCTGTTTTCAAGAATATATGACTAAAAAATACAGTATCTATGAAGTTCACAATTTCCCCATTAAACAGATCGAGTCATTACCATTACTAACTGATCCCAATGACAGTTGCAAGTAACTTGCTCTGCTTTTGAATCTTGAAAGTGCACAGAACTAGCCCTATATCATTTAAGTTGGCTGCCATGGCTTTATTTATAATGTACCTGTATATAATACTTTGATAAGATCATTCAACCTGATCATATGTACTAAGTCATGGCATCATTTTAATAAGCATCTTAAAACATCAATAATAAACATAGATCCTACATTGATAATTCTTTAATAACTAATAAGCCCTGAAACATATTTTTTGCAGATTAAAACAGAGAATAGCTATAATGGCATCCCTAAATCATTTGCCTGTAATTAAAAGAGCAACATTCAAGACAAGACCCTGTTAGCTTTTCCTCTCTTGTTTCGATTTGTGAAGAACAAAAGATATTTCCTATTAATAGTGCCTAGTATTCAAAACTAGTCTGATCCAGTTCAGTGTCTTCTTAACTCTGTAAGTTGCCTTTGCAGAGTAACAAATCCTAAACTCATATAATTAACACAGTGATTTATTTACATTAATAGTATTCTAAATACAAACTAATTAAAATGTTGCATGGTATTTTCCTCTGACTGCAGCTAAATATGAACATCATTTTTTAAAGTCATTCTCTAGTATGCAGACAGGGATTGACAGATTCAGAGTCACCATGACCTCTGCTACATCTGGACACATTTGCTGCAATGCTGGTCATAGAATTGATAATGCGGTGTACGTAATACATAGCAAAGGAAAGGGGTTTTTTAATAGCCAATAAGTATAGTCCCCATGCAAAGCTGTTTTTACTCGACTCTTGCGGATATTTTTATGATGAGCATCTTTATGCTGCTGTTCACATTTGACATAGAGTTGTACTGAGAGATGTAATAATAAATAATGAACTAACCTTTAAGGAAATTTCCATGACGTACAAAATCTATATACAGTTTCATATTTCATTTAAAACGCAACGTATATAGTGTTTCGGAAAAAGTGTCATGTATCATACTTCAAAATGAAAATAAACTTTAAAAAAAGCAGTTTTCTCACCTTTTCTTTAAAAAATCTTCGTAAGTTGTACTTGGGGTGTTTTGGTGGTTACAAACCGGATGCACATGTACTTCGATATCCGCATTGAATGTGCCGTCACTTCCGTTTAGAATAAGCCCTCAAAATAGCATAACCAACAATTTAAAGAAATAAGTTTGTTATAAAAAAAACTAAAGAGAGAGATTTATGCTATCTCTTATGGTCATGTAATTTAAAGATTGACACAACTCTTTGTTTTGATTATTTAATTGACGAACCACTGCCGTCGCTTTTCTTCACTGCTGACGTCAAGTGCACTGGGGCGAAGAAGTGCACTTTTGAAAATCTGACAAAAGCCATCGTGTAATATAAGTGTGATGCGAATTTGTTGATGGTGAGTAAAATAGGTTTTAGTGTAATAACTGCAGTAAGTGTTTTTATCACTTAAATTTTATTCATAAGAATGTAACTTGGGTTGAATCAGTATAAGAAAGGTAAGTGCGCGACGTGTTTTGTCACTAATGATTGCGATTATCGGCATGAGAACATTCCACACTTATTTCAGCTATCCTTTGGAATAAAACTTACCTGTTTTGTTGATGTATTGAATAGAGTATTAAGAGAAAAGGTAAACCAAAGTATGCATGTTCTTGTACGGTCCATTACATTGACCCAAGTGGTAACAGACAATGGGATTGTTTTGTTCATTAATTTCCTTACGTATGAATCATCCCACCTTTTGTATTGGAATGTTGCATACAGTGGTAGAAGTACATGGTAAGCTTTAAGAAGAACTCATGGAATATTTTGTCACTGTTAAGGTAATTTAAGGTTACTGTTACTTGTACTAAGAGTAGCCCTTATCTATCCCTTCTTGTTAATTAGGCAGCCCTGTACTTGAAGAAGGCAGTCTCCCATGCAAGTTGAAGTAATATATAGGTCTTTGAACAAGCACTGTTATTCTTATTTATACTGACCATGCAAGAGTCACAGTGTTGGCCGTTGGGATAAATATAAACGCTATGCATACTTGAAACTGTTGGTTGGATTGATGGCAGCAGTAATTGTTTGGAGTTCTTTTGTCGGGTGATATTGTGAAGTCATCTCATTATGTCTCTGCATAATTACTCCCCCATAGCAAAATTATGATATTGCTTGCAATCCTACTTCAATACTTGCCCACATAAGTTTTTGAATGATAATGCTTTGATTTAACATATTAGTGTATTATGTTTATGTTTCCAAGTGGGCTTTTATGCAATATTATATTTTCTTTTACATTTGGGTGATGGTTTGAAATAGTCTGCGTGAAGTTAAACAGACATTTTCTTCTTTTGCATCTAAGTCATTGCAGTAGGTATTATTAATGTGGCATAATAGTATGTAGACTGTTAAATGTGAGGTAGATGCTGTACAGAACTCTTAACCAGTTGGGTTTCAGACGAGCAAGTAGACTTGTATTTAAATAGACCATGATACAGGTAAAGAGCATGGTAAAGAGAAACACAAATTGAGTTGAAAACCTTGTAATCAAACGTTCAGTGGTTGAGAATGAGATTGTTTGTACCTTTGTAATGTAGAGTTGAAGAATAGGTATTTAGGGCTCAAGGTACCTTTTTCTTTGTCTTCCCAGTGTAAGTGACCTCTTTGCTGTTGGACAACTAAATGCATGGAGACCTACTGGACAGACACCCTAAAAGAAAATAAACCTGCTCCCTTCTTTTTACTTTTGGAGTAAATTTAACTCCCAGGCTTATTTTTCTAAAAAGAGTTTATGCCAAGGCCTGGAGATCAAATTATGGATTAAGAAGGTAGAAAAAAGTCAATATAAACACTGACGTTTACTAGGAATATCCCAAAAAGCAAGACTAGAAACTAAGCAGTAGATTTAAAAAGCTTGCACACAGGTTCAGACTGGTAAATAACTTGTATGATGATTGCATTCCATTTATTGTTGATTTACCCTAATTTCAGGATACATTGTCACGTCACCTCTTTATTGTTATGAAGGGTTGTGTTTCTAAATAAAGAAATAAGGGACTTCCGCCCCTTCATTATGTTCAAATGTCATAGGCCAAATTAAAGTTATGAGATTCATTCATAAGACATTCCTAAAGGACCTTTTGTTGTTGGTCCCTAATATCAGGTGTTGTATCTGGGTATTATGCTAGGCAAATGACTGAGTGACCATGTAATGGGTGTTTGCTTAATAAGGGAACATTTTTGCCAGGTAACAAGTTGTTAAGAGGCTTATGTGCAATGTAAATGTATCTGTCTTACTTTTGATATACAATAATTCTTAATGTCTTTTTAAAGAAGGGGGGGGGGCTAGTGCTCTGACAGTCATAACTCTTAAAATAATAAAAAAGAATGGCAAAAGGTTAGTTTATGTCCATCAAAGTAAGAAAAGTTGGCATGTATAGATAAGCACTGTTAAGTCGGAGAAAATGTCATTTAACTTTAGTAAGGGATATACACAAAAGGGCAGCATACAGGATTTTGGTGTTAAAATGCCTTCTGACATTTTCTATCTTCTTCAGATTTTTATGTTTACTGACCATCTTTTTATGGTGTTTTAAACTCTAGATTATCATTCAAAGTACATTGTAAATACCACCTATTTTTCCATACAGTTTAAGCTGTGTGGGTGGTTGTAGTAGATGCTTTTTTAGGATTGTCCCTTTATTTGAAAAAAAAAATGTATTTGTGCAGGGCAGTTGTTTCATAGTTACAAAGAGATTCAGCATGCCTTTAAATTTGGACATAATTATGATTCCAGAAAAGAAAATAAGAAATGTGAAGATGTCAGAATTCAATTTCAAAAGATTTTATCATTTAGTTGGAAAAACTCACCCTGAGCTTCAGAGATAACTTGACACTAACCTCTTCACTATAGCCTATCTTCATCGTGTCAAGTTACCTCTGACCACATTCGATTGCCCCCGCCGCCCGCCAATCAAATTTAAAGCCCGCACTCAATGACTCATTGAACGATCTAGCCAATGAACGCGAACGAGTCAAAGCGCGCTTTGTTCAAATCCGGACCAATCAAAGATAAGGCTGAATATCAGGGACTTGCCGTAACCTGTGGGCAGCACGCAAAATACATCATCCCTCAGTAGATAATGATGCAGGGCATCAAACTGCTCTGGTTTCAATTCCGATATACTCCATGCTTTCTTTGTGTACGGTTATGCACTCGGAACTACTCGGATGTCTCCGCACTCGACAATAACTATGTTGTTAGTATGGAGCTTGCGGAATCAGCCGAGGATTGCCGATTGACGGTCAACCAATCAGCGTTTTCACCAAACTTTGGTGAAAAATTTTGAAACATGGATTCGATTGGCTTATATAAACTAGGTCAAACTATTTTCGTCAGAGGTAACTTGACACGATGAAGATGGGCTATAGTGAAGAGGTTAGTGTCAAGTTATCTCTGAAGCTCAGGGTGGAAAAACTTAAAGGAAACTGAAAAACTATAAATACAAAGCACAGTTATTTTGTTCTCAAATGGCCAGCATTACAATTGATTCAAAGGCAATACCCCACCTAGGTACACATATTATATTTTTTCAGACTGAGAAAAGTGACCCATTTATGTATATACAATAGCAGGAAAAGAATAAAATTAAATTTAAAGGTCAATGTTGTATCAGATTACAAGATATTGAAATTGTTATAGTAATTTCTTTTTCTGATATTTGAATGTGTATTTTGAATGGGCTCAAACTTGTTACAAAATCTGCAATGCAGGAGGGATGTTAATGTTCTTTTAAAATGTATGCAACATTGAGCAGCATATTATTTGTATATAAAGAAGTTATGGTTTATTTGGTTGTTTACAGTCATTGTTTTTCATCAAACTGTAACACACCTGCTGGAGAAAAGTACTAGTAAACATTTTTTTACACTAGACCTCATAACAGATGTATTTAGTGTGCATGCATTTACCTTGATTAGTAAATTAAGCTTAATTCTTAATTCCCAAATTGGATTTTTTCTGTAAGTCTAATGAGTGAGATGATAAAGGTGGCATGAACAGTTGCTGAACAATCCAATTTTCTTGATGGCTCTGTGTCAGGTGTACCATTGATGCATGTCCTAAAGCAATCACACATGTTCATATATCTTACTAAAAAGCACTTGCTAACACATCTTTTATACTAATGTGCTGTAGTTTAACTTAATATTTTTGTGTTTTTTCTGTCTCTGTCAGGTAGAAAAGTATTTTCCGAACCTTTCATTTATTGTGCTTGTGGTAGCACTAACACTCGCCAATTTAGCCAAATGCTAAAAATGGCTTAACTTGGCTAAACAAATAGGGCTTGATTTGACTCATTTCAGTCAAATTAAAACCATTTGGATAACAAATTGACAAAAAAAACGGTGATTTGGCTAAGGGAAAAAAATTGCTAGCGCTACCCCAGTGTGCTATTGATGTTCAAGTAGAAAACTGCACATCCACAAGTATTTAAGTATTTCTGAATCAGTCAAATCTGAAATAGAAAAATCTCTCCACCTCAAAGATAAAAAAGTATATGAGTGGCTTTTCAAAATGCCAGAATTTTAATTCTTATGAGAAGTGACAGTTAGATGATTGACAAACTGTGCAAAACGCCTGTATTGGCAATAACATGTAGGAATATATGTGGTTGAGATTCCCATTATTTCTAAATGTTGCATCTTTTCCTCCTATTAATCAGACAGGTTAATGGGTCCACAGGTATGGCATTATTACACCTTGATGGATGAAGAGATATAAATGTAAACATAACAAACCACTGGATTCTTATACTTTGGTGTAATTTTTTAGGTGTTATTGGACTGGTAGAAGTTCCCCCTGGAGTGAACAGTTCTGCTTTTATATATCATCTCCCTGCATAGTAAATAGATGAGATGGAGAGAAAGGGTGAGTATACAAAAAAAGACACCTTAAAATATACTAGTAACATTGTAAAGCTTAACAAGCTGTTAAGTGTGAAGCATTCTTCAAATTCTTTATGTAAGGTCTCAGAATAGATAGCTATTCCCATAACGTACAGAAGCATATTCCAGCATTTTTTCCTGAATTTAATGCCATTACTTCGAAGAAAGTTTATAGACATGACATTTGAACAGTGAAATTTTAACCTACCAGAGGGACATGCAAACGGAAATGCAAGTCTGTGAAGAGTGTAATAGATAATTCTAGCCTTAAGTCAAATTATCATGTTAAGTCTGATTGCCCTGGGATGTTTTTTATTTCTCCTGGCAGCTTACAGTTTATCCTGTGCATGTATTACTGGTGAGGGAAATGTGCAAGATGTGATGTTAAATTTGCAATTTTAACCTGATAGTTAGCAGCAGTAAAAGGGAAATGATGGGGTTTTGTTTTTTATGTAGTATAAGTCATGTCTGAGTAGGTTGGTGCTCCCAATGAGTGTAAGCCTAGTGTTTATGGCAAATATTGACAGAACCATTTAGGAGCTGAATCCAACTGTGCCAAGAATACTGATAATTTTTATTTCATTGATCTGTAGACATGTGGCTGAAGAGGAAAGATTAATCCATATCTCAGCCAGAATGGCATTTACTTTTACATAATGGAATAAAAGTGAAGATTATTTAGAATTGGGGAATTCGTTTTGAATCTATTCTATAACATGTATTTTGACAGGAGCTGGAGATAAACATTTGATAGAAAGTGAAGAGTTGAGTGTAAATAACTTAAAAATGGAGATTAAATTTGACTTGAGGGTACTTTCTGTGAATCAAACAAACTCAGTGGCAATATTTTTCATATTGATCTTTTTTTCTTTAAAAAAAAAGATGCCACCAATTAGCTTAGGTCATAAATGATGGGCTGAATCATAAGCTTTCCAACAGAGTTAAGAGACATGGCTATCACCAATATTGATTTGGAGCTTTGTGAGTAATGGTTACTCATTTGGATAATGTTGCCATTGCCTTTTGGATTCCAATTTTTTTAATACAAGTGTCTCGCACACAACTGTTGAGTATACCCATTTGCAGTTGAGAGAGCCTGAACTAAATTTGGTAAGCGAAATTGTTTTCTCGATATCACATTGGTATTTATTCTTCAATTTCAGGTCCTGGGAGTTAATGTGAAGGAAGATAAAATGTAGGAAAACATTGTGTTTCTATTGCCAAAACAGGTTTGTACATTCTTGATGGTAAGATTTTTAATATGATTTCCAGAACTATGTGGTTTCATGGATATATGGATATATTGTGTGCAGTAATCTTACTAGTAATTACAAAATATAATATGCAGTTACTAGTACCTAATGCTGGTGTTCAGATGCTTACTAGTTTTATAAGTGCCAAATATTTCATGGAGTTCTGGATTGAATAAGCCAGCTGGCATTAAACTAGTGGCAGGAATATAGACTTTTGTGTGCTACTTATCAAAATGATAATCTATGCATTTTTTTGTTTAAAAGCAGGTTTTATGTTAACAATTTTGTAAAGAACATGTAAAAATTCATAAATTGTATTATGATATGTAATATTCCCTAATTACCTTTCATTAAAGATAAAATGTGTGTTGGGGTATTTATCTTGACAAGTAAGTCTTCTTTCCAAATTGTCATTTTTAAACTGATAAATGGATCTGTTAATTTTCTTTTCAATGAAAATCTCATAATTTACTATGTGGACTAATTCCTTTGGAGTCCAAAAAGGAGAAAGATAACTGAATCAGGCCTTAATTTTGGTGACCAAGTTTGTGTTGACCATCTGTTCCCTAGTTTTGTAGGAGTCTCAGCGGAGGTTTAGCTGTAATTTTGATGCATTGGTTGTCATGTGCACTGTGCCAGAAGGGACTGCAATTAGGTCACAAGAGGATGAAGATAAAAGATTAGAAAAAAGTACAATTTCAGACAAGAGTTGAAGCTTCGTTGAAACACTGAAATGATCCTTTTTAATGTTCGGGTAAACTTAGAAAAATGTTTTTATGTTGATTTGTTTATTTTGTAATTCAGATGTTAATTTGTTTGAAACATTTACCATTTTTTGAAATCAGTCATCACAACAGCCGCACTCGTTTTCATGTAAGGTGACACTTTGCATTGTTCGCTATTGTAATTTTGATTAAACCTGCATAAAACTTGATTTTCCAAATTTCCTGTTTTGCCTTTTCCATGCTCTTTTTTTAATATGAATAACTAAATGACCTGGCATTTTCGCTCTCCTTTATCAGAGTTCAGTACAAATAAAACACTTGAGACAGGAAGATAGCTGTGGCTTTTACATTTCCTGACAGAGAACTATTTACTGTAAACTGCTAGAGCACATTATTGAAAATCAATATATACACAGTTAGGGTATTGATCCGGAGAAGATAGCACATTGTTGGTCCTTGTCTGACTTAAAGGCGTAACGGCTCATAACTAATTCCTGGGACATTTCTCCATGTTTATATCCTCATAGTCCAGGTGATAGCTGAGGTATATACCTTAAGTCTTTCTTGTAACATACTAGTAGGTCTTTCAGGAGACCTAGGTCTCAGGTCGAGTCAAATCAGAATATCATCATAATTGTGCCTTTGCCTCTCATGCCAAATACATATTTGGTGAGAAAATATGAATAATTGATTAAAAGTCCCTTTTTAAAGCGTTGTTCAATATAGGGATCTACAAGGAATAAGAGAGACTAGTGTACAAATAGGGTGAGGAAGGAGGCACCAGTGTGCCATGGAGATTTGGTCAATGAGAGCTGGAGAGATGGGAGTGAAAACATTGATTTTGTCTTTATTGCTGGCCTCCAGTGTTATGATCAAAACTTACATCTGAACACTTTACAGCTGGTCATCCATTAGAAAGGAAGTGCATTCAGATCCAAGAAAGGTAATGCGCTTCATCATAGCTGCAATTTAATGTTATTGAGGGATATTAATCATGGAATTGTGTGAAAATAGCTGTTTTTCGTGTGTTAAGGCTTTTATGTGATTTATTTGATGGGTTGTTATTGGTTAAGCGTGTGCTGTAGGATTTTATACTGGATAAAGATGGTTACTTTTTGTGATATTGTAAAGAAAGTCTTTGTCAGTGTCATAGGCTAGAAAAATGTAGGTTAAATAGGGTTCTTTCTAAAGAAAAGGAAGTGCAGTCACTCCTTTTTAGGGAAAACATTGTGGTTTTTGACTCTCACCTCTTGTACATTTTTCAGAAATGAATTGAAAAAAAGAAGAATCCTGCATTATGGTCACAGTTTTAATTCTAATTATTGCTATGTACAAACAGTAGTTGGCATCATGTTGAGATGTTTCCTATTATTTTATTCCACCAGTGAAAGTTCCCTACAGAATGACCTGCTGGTACAAATCATTTGATAATATTTAATTGTATTGGTCAGTTAACAATCCTATCAGGTGTCAAACCATGTGGAAAATCTGTCTTTGCTGGGGAGTTTTTTTTTCACCAGTCTTCTAATTAAGGTGTCTTTCTTTCATTTGAAGTCATTGTGCTGTTTAGTTAGAGGTCATTCAGATACCATTTCATGTGGAAAATCTCTCTGTGGCTCAGGCCATTGATTCTCGAATAGTTTTGGGAGATAATCAATTTTATGGTTCTACTTCACTGATCAGCCGGAGCAGCTGCGGCCATTCAGGGAAGAGATAGAGTAGCTGTTTAGTCAATGACAAAAATAGTTGGACTTCAAAGTCTATGATTGTATTCAGTGTTAATGTACAGTTTGATAAAAGTAAAGTAAGTATATGAATTGTCAAAATTGATAATATTTCTTAAATTATATATGATGCTGAATCTTTGGCATTCGTAGGCAGAGAAAAAGGCAAATGATAGATTCAATATTTGACTGGATTGGGATTTTCAGTATGCAAGTCTTGTCTCCTGAACATCATGAAACCAGATGCAAAAACGCATTGGTTTACCAAGGATAGGTAGGATGCAGAACAGCTATTTTCAGCCTAACAGATAATGATGAGTCTATGAGTTATAAGAGGATGTTGATGTTCCTGTAGAACCTTATTTATCTTATGTAAGATCAGCTGTCCGGATGTTTTTGCCAGTCTGTGTGTTAGTTACAATGTGAAGTGAGAAAGCATGTCTTTGAGATAGATCCATTTTTGCACCCTCAGAAAATGAGGATTTAAAAGCCATGCTCATTAACCCTTGCAAAAGTTTTCAAGTCTAGCTGATGGCATTGTGATATTCCTTTTAACAACTTGAGATGACTGTAAGTTGTGCTCAGACAGTGTTGCATGATTATATCTAAATGTTAAACTATAATTGTTTAACTTCACCTTTTTCAGTGGGTACCTTGGTTTTCTTAAATGGGTATCTGACTGGTTTGTATGTTGTTTTTGCTATTTCACCTCATCTTGTATATATGTTAAAACCAATGAATGTTAGACACGTGGCATATGTAGTGTTCAACAAAACCTAATTGTATATATTTACACACACACACACACACACACACACACACACACACACACACACACACACAGAGAGAGAGAGAGAGAGAGAAATCTTCAACAAGACCCTCTCTGTCTGCCTTTCTTATATGTTATAAAAAAACAACTAATAGCACACTATTTATTCAACAGAGTTCATAGCCCAGTATGTATTAATGGTAAATCCCGCTAGCAGGCCCAGGTGCTCATCTATCATAGAAGTAGGGTAAGGTTTCCTGGAAATCTTTGGATTCATTGCCTCTGAGACCATGTGCTGGTGATGAGCCATGTTTCCTTGCAGAGATTACCTTGAGAACAGAAATCTCTCTGTACAGAAATTATGGGAAATCGTGGGAATCATTGATGACTTGGGAGTTTGAATGTGGAAGAAATGTGCTGGGAATTATATACATATATGGTGAACCCAAAGTTGTAAGTGTTTGCCAAGCATGTGATGATGTGGTTGGTTTTGGTAATATGTTAGTAAGAGTCAAAAAAATCTCATTGAATGCTAACAAATACCTTTACTTCTGAGGGTTGTGTTGCAATCAAAAATATCATTTGCAGGTATCAAGAGTTATTGTGATTAAATAGTAGGCATTCTTTGATCGTCGCTGATAAAACTATCAGTTTAAGTACAGATTCTCATGGTCCCGTAAAATTGGCAATCATTGTGTATGAAATTAACCTTGAGGACAGTGTATAGTGAATGCCTTTGATTAGGTGTAGATTTATTGTTAACAAATTCTCATTAATGACAAATGTGACAAATTTTAAAAAAGGTAATGCTGAGTGCCAAGACAAACCTCCCTGGGCAAAGTATTTTTGAAAGAAAGACAAAATATTAACGTGTATGAAATGCATGAATAATATGAAGTGTGCTCTGATTTTCTAGTAAACAGAAATATTTTTTCAATATTTGGTTTTTACTCATTCCGTGAATCAAGTGAAGATGAGTATTCTGATTTTGAACCTTAATATTTAGTAAACTTAGAGCAATAACCAAAGCTGGGTATTCTAAGGCCATGTGCTGCAAATTAAAATTGATATTTAGTCATTGAACTAGCATTGAATTAATGCAAAAAATGCCTGTTCAAGCTACTTGTTTCAGACCTTAATCCCTTGTTGTGCCTAAAACAAACATGCTGAAAATACAGAACTGTTTGCCTTACAATCTCAACATTGTTCTAAAGATGATTGCTGCCTGGCAGGTTGCCATTTAATAGTAATTTTATCGGTAAGTTGTATTTCAGGTAATGAAGTGTAAAAAAATCAATTGTTTCCACAATCTGGGCAATAATTGCCTGAAGGTGAGCTCATAATGGAAGATTTTTCTTTTATAGATCATATTGGTTTTGTATTATTTGTGAACCTGGGAATAGGAATTGTGCTTTTTATGTGGGTTCAGAAAAGAGAAAAATTGTGACATGTCTTTGTGTGAAGTGATGCTGGGGCACAGCAGTTAGGTATGAGATTTTGTGCACCTGTGGGCTGAAGATTAGACTGCTTGTAAAACTCTGTACGTGAGAGAGGAAAATGGCAATGTGATTTTGGTTTTATTTGCCAGACATTTTTTAACCCTGAACACAATGTTTCAGCAAAAAGATAATTTATGCATAGAATATTGCACAAGAATTGTATGGGCGTGTAATCTTTCTTATCAGAATTTTGCTTTTAATTCACATCTTTACCACTGAAATTAAAACCCAAAGCAAAAATGAAATTGGAGCACTATTACCAGTGCCCAAATCAAATTATTTGCCCAAGCACTTAAAAGTCAATAGGCTTAGCAGTCTATCAACCTCTAATGTAGTTTGAGAGTGTATCATAACAGGATTATTGACCAGGGATTGTCTATTGACCACTCCGTTGATGAATCATAGGCTGAAGTTACGGTAATGATGAAGATAAGTCAGAGGTTGTCAGTCACTGTTATTGCAGATTACTTGGAACATGAAAATGTCTGGTTCAGAAGGTTTGTACTTAGATGCCTGCATTCTTGGCTTTGTCATTTATGTTTATGAATGTCTATATAGACAGTTTTGTGATATGTTTGGTAGGGTCTTTTTTGTTTGTTAAAGTGACATCATTCTAGCCATCTCAATTCTGTATGTTGAATTGCAGATGTACTTACAGAATATGGGTATATGAAGTTTCTGGCTATGAAATGTTAAATTCACACCATTCATCATTGTATGTCATTCTGTCATGTTTTTAATAACTGCAGACTAGCATAACTTAGGGTAATTGAGCTTACGAAATAAAAACGAGTCATTTTTGAAATGCAACTTTGGTCTTTTTTAAGGAGTTATTAATAACACCTAGAAGTTGTTTCCTGGGGAATGTAACAGCCACATATTAGTTTTTGTTATTACCTAATAGAACATGTTAAACAGAAAACATGACAATCACATTGTCTCCCTTGTAGGGAAATTAATGTAATAGAAAAAACCTTGCTTGTTTTTTTGTCCAGGTGTAACATCACCGTTGGCTAAGTGGCAACTACGTAATAGTTTTTTTTTTTTTTTACATAGATCTGTCTTACTCTGGCTCTAGATGTCATATTTGATTTCCATAAGCAAGATGTGTAATACATGACTGGTATACTTGAGACTTCTCCCACCTTTTGTCACCTTGATCAGAAGCATAGATCCTGCAAACCAGATCCGAGTTCTTCAAGATTCTTAGCCACTTTGAATTGACTGCTTTTGATTTTTATAGGAATTTTTCTTATTTTGTGTATTAGTGAACTGTCAACTTACTATATGGCTGTGATAGCTCTTTATGTATTGCTGTTATTATTTTGAGAATGATGTTACCCAGATAACAATTCCCTCCAAGGTGGTACAGATTCCTATTAGAGAAACCATATACCTGGCTGCTCTGGATCATTTCTTGGGACATTTTTTTAGGAAGAGAACCAGCAATTCAAGTTTATTTATGTGTGTGTGACAGCTCTGTCACAGTTCAGTCAAACTAATAATAGGGATGTCACCAAGGCCTGCCTTCTCTTGCTCCCAGACAGCACATAGATTTCCATCAGAATAGCCCCCTACCTGGCAGCGTCAGGTCAATTTTGAGTGTTTGCATTAAGCTGTCAGTGTATGTCAGATATGGCAGCGGCTGTGAGTATGTTGTACCTGTATGGCTTGATATATATACTGTTGATACGTGTGGCTGATATTGAAGGGTGTTTTACAGTAAATTGTTTGCACCTGTTTGATGGCTTATACACTCTGAATCATTCATGTAGGTATTTATGTTGAAGTTTGAGGTGTGATACTCAGCCTAAGAGATTAAGAGGCTTATTTTTATATTTTTTGGCAACAATGAAAGTGAAATTATTTTTTAAAAAGGAATGTAAAGACAGATTGTCTTTCTTTTGGTATAAAGTTTAATACACAGGTTATGGAGGATTGTGTCTTCCATCTTTGAGTAAAAGATACGACTAAAAAGCTGTGTGAACTAAGTTGGGAAATTTTACAAAGTATTAATTGAGAAGAGATATTGTGTGTGTTCAACTAACACCTGCTGTAGTGTTGTGATATTAGATAATGATCCCATTGTAACCATGGGTATTCTTAAGTTAAAATCAGGAACAACAGCTTGCCTTGAATAACATTGATTATCTATAATATTATTGAGGTCTAACACCTTTGCTCTTTGTTTTAGTGCAAGCTTAGCTTTCTCTAAGCTGGTTCAACTGTTTTAGCCAAATAGCTAACATTTTAGCCAAAATTGATTAAGAAGCGAGAAAGCTGTGATAATGATGAAATTATATTTATTTCTTTAAGGAAAACATAACCAGAACCTGCATTAGGCCATGTGAAGGCCTAACACCTTTTGGTCTTTTAAAACAGTATGTTGTGGTAGGCCACTGTCAAATGTTTTCTGGAGTGTTTTTGTACCTATGAAGTGGACGAGAGCTGTTTTTGCTGGTGTCAAAAGTTCATGAAAGATTCATAACACTCACACCAGTTGTTTTTCCTCTTCCAAGCAATTAACTTTGAAGGACAGTACAAACACAGGGAGCTGCTCAAGTTTGGATCTCTTCTTTTCTTTATTGATCTGTTGAGAAAATTTGACGTGGATAATTTGAAATTATGAAACATGTCAATTTTCTAATACAAGGCCTGGGAAATGTTAAATTATATCAGTTAGGTATTGAAAGATATGTGATGATCATAGATATCCATGGTGACTGAACATTAACACACAAGAAATACATACTAAAGGACATATCTAGATATGAGGATGAAAAATAGATCATGCTTTGTTCTCCCACTAGTCTGGAGAGTGTTACAAGCTCTCACAATTAAATTAACATGGCAGTTATTGTCCCAATACAGTCTGGCACCGGCAGAAATTCAATTAACAAAGTTGCTTATTGCATGTTCACAACCTGTGTTGCATAATTAATTGGTTCTCCCTGGCATACTTGGTATACTCCAGGTGTTGGTTGTTTTGAAAAAAAAAAAAAAAAAAAACAGATAGGATTGTGATAGTATAAGGTTTTATGATCACATCTAATGCAATGATAGATTGTGTTTTTTTATTTATACAGAATTTGTGATATATGACTGGTGAAGTACAATTGTTACCCTATATTACATTTGATGTTACAGATATATTTTGTTTTAAATGGATCTAAGATGTGATACTTTTTTTAGTGTCAGAAAATTACATGACTAACAGTAAAGGAGTGAAAGGTTTATGGAAATTGCTGACATTAGCAGGAAATTAACACATTTCAGTGAGATACATGCTCAATAGGAGCATTATTAGTAGCATTACAGTAGTTCAAGTTTTATCAAAAAGGCAACTGGAAATTAGTACTTGTGTGTGCGTTTGTTTGTGTGTGTGTGTGTGTGAAATTAACCTATATAAAACATAATTATGTTTCAGATATTTTCTTTTAAATGGTCTGAAAAAAAGACAAAAAAAAATTTTTTTTTTTTATTTCAGCAATAAAGTTACATTTTTACTTACTTCTCGATAAATTAAGCTAGCATTCGAATTACAACTTTTTAAAACTCAAAAATATCCTTATCATCCTCAGGTAAGCTGAAGCCATGGCTCAGCAGTTCCACTCCTACGATGACCTGATCAGGCAGGTGGAGTCCCTGAAGATCGAGAACACCAACCTGAAGCGAGAACTAGAGGACAACTCCAGTCATCTCACCCAGCTGGAGAGCGAGGCCTGCAGCATGAAAGATGTCCTGTCTCATCTCAGTACAGTTATGACTGATGAGGAGGGAGAGGAAGGGGAGGAAGAACAGCCTGCAGGACACAAGGGGGAGGCACTACTCAATATAGGCTTGTCACCTTTCTTGGGGACCGTGGATCAGAATTCCAACCATGGTATGTTGTTTAAATTCATTTTGCCTTTTTGAAAAATAGAAGAATAGATAGAAGGAATAGAATAGAAGAGTAAGACCATGGCAAAAGGGATGCAATACTGGTCAATGATGGTGTGGCATGTTGGTACACATTAGTCATTAATTATGAAGGTAGACTCATAAGCTTTGAAATATTCTCAAAATAAATATGGTTGATCTATGAAAATGTCACTCAGTATAATTTTGCTTAATTTATCATGAAAAATCATTGAATTAAGCTACCCATCTGTTCAGTGGGAAGCTTTGTCATTTGTCATACCATCCAAGATAGCTTTCTAATTACTGTTTAATTAACAGATGTCCCTGGAGACCTAATCAATGCATGGATTTTGTCAGAACTCAATCAGCCATTTAATCATCAAATATAATATGCAATAAAACTCTTCTTCTTCTCCCATACACAAATACCATTTGCATGTATATCATCCTCGTTTGTGGGACCAAAGAAAAGTCCAAGTTTTTGATATATCCTATAGTATCATTTGGTTCTATGTAAAGTTGCATTCACAACAAGTCTGAATTAAATTGGAAGTGGACTTAATGACATCACTACCAGATTGGTCAATATGGGATTATAATTCTAAGGCATGATGGCGGTCTTGGAGTCTCAGAGTCTGAAGCAGACTGCTTTCGTTCAAAGTAAGTGCTGCTGTGAACAAGACCTGTAGCTATCAAAAAATGTTTCCGTTTACTTATATGAATTTCCTGTGATTTGTTTTGAGGAGAATATAACTGAAATGGTAGCCTAAGATGATGTATAGTAAAGTAAATGAGGTGGTAGCCGGGAAACTGCCACTTATATCATTGAAGTTCAAGAAGCTGATCTAAGTTATGGTGTGTAATTCCCTGCCTCGAAATGCAATCAAATATCAAGAGTTTTCCACAATTTGTTTCATGCATAATATATGTAGGAACTTAAGCCTAATAATTGCTACTTGTGGCAGATTAGGAAGGCAATAAAGAAATGGCTAAGAGGATTACCCAGGTAATATCTCATTGACTAATAATGGCTGGAATGATATCATATCATTACAGTAAGTTGACATAGGATTAGTGTGTTGACTATCTAGTGACCGGGTGTGAGAGTGTCAGTCTATGAACTCACTGTACCCTCTGCTTGCTGGTAGTTCTACAGATGAACACAGAGTGAAATGTTTGAAGGTAGAAGAAAGTAGTGAAATATATTACCTGGAGGACCAGGCACAGTGAAAGTTAACCGATGGCTATCTGTCAGTCACAGTGTGAACTAGGTTTTATTCAGTTAGAAAAATTTGCCCCATCATGTGCTGCCACCTGGTAGACATTTTGTGTATGGTAATCTATTCAGTAAGGGATATTGATCACTAGTTAGTTCACAACTGCTTCCATTCCTGTAGGCTGATGTGCAAAAATAAGGTGAGTCTGTTTGTGGAATGTCTGGTCTCAGGGTATGTATTTACTGGTCAGTGCAACATGAATTGACCACACTGAATTTCTTGTCATGTTTGGCTTGAGTTTTTTACTGGTTAAAAGATGATTTGTGGAAAATTATTTTTTGCGTATGCAGTAGTTATCCTTGTGTCAAAACTGTTTGATTTGTGATCCATCCACCAACATTTGTTTGACATTTTGTTTTTAAAGTATTGTTGCAATGAAATAACAGTTTTCATCAAATATATATGTATGTGCTGAAATTGCTGATTGTTTCTTTATAAAGCACAGTCAGGCTGCTGGTTTTATACAAAGGTGGTTTTTGGCAGGCTTGAAATTACTTTAGCTGCGCTGTGTTTGATCTGATTTGTATTCTCTTTTATCTTTGAAGTTTTCCCCATTTTGCTTAATCATTTTTTAAGCAAAGCAAACAAAAGAGCAGTCCAGTACAAAGTGTGAATGACTAGAAAGAGCGACTTGGAACAAAGTCAGCAAGTATCATGAAAGTCACACAAACCTGTTAGCAACTTGTTTGCATTGTATTACTTTGTTGTATTCTTTGATTTTGAAACAGGAATTTTTGGTATAAAAGGAGAAAATGTTGTAAGTCAGTGGTGTGGCAAATGCCACCAAATGATCTATAAGGTAAGGCATCTGGACCCAGTCCCCCTTTTATCTCTCACCAGATACCAAAGTCTTGAGTATTTGCTCAAATTTATCTGCTCCATGTTAAGCAACAGAGAGGGCATTATTCCAATCCTGATCTGTTTAAACACTAAATTAGAAACCTTGCATTATTGTATACTTCAATTTGGATGTAACAGAATAAATTTGTTCATTAGAGAAGGTTACAAATGGGGGTAGTATTATCCCGGCTCACCTGGGCGCAACCTTCTTTTGCTGCAGCACTGAAAAGGTAGGCCACGAGGGTTGGGGTGTTAGATTAAACAAGCTGATAGTCTTTATAAATCTCTCGATGGAAGGAGCCAAGTGTAAAGACTGGGACAGAAAGACAAGTATTGTGGGATTGCCTAATATTTTTATTTTTGAAGAGCCATGTTCACGTGTAATAAAGCCAGGTCCTGCTTTACAGGCTGAGGGAGAAACACAAAAGCTTCTTTACTTCTTCATACTTCTATTGCAATCAACATTTAGCACTGATCCTTGACTTGGCAGGGCAAGTCATTCTTATCGCTGAACTGCTGCGTTTTAATTTGAAAAAAAATTCCTGAACCAAGCTGGATCCATAGAACTTTGTCTCTATGTTGATACATCCTAGACATCTTTGAGGTTGTTTTTCCTCTGGCAGGGGGTGTCGGTATCAGTTTCATCAGATAACAGCAGCCTGGTGGACTTGCATGTTAGAAAGACCAGAGTATATTGTAGTTGACAGATCTTGTTAGCTGACCAAGTGGTAAGTGGTCAGTCTTGGGTAATAACCTTGTTAGTGGCTGGGCAGCAGGTATATAAGGTATGTTATGTTATTACAGAATGGCTTCGTAAAGGAACTGGAATGATTTTCACCTTGCTCTGTTGTTTTCTGCTTGATTGTCTTCACTGGCAAGTCATGTCTTTTTGAAACTCTCTTATGTTATAGGAACGGAAATTCCTTCTTTCTTGTTCACAAATAGAAGAAAAACTCATTTGAAATTGTGTTTTTAGGGGTGTAGGTTTATTGAGCCTGCAGGTAAGTTTTTGAAGATGTTAATTCATCTTTTATGTAGGAGACACCCATGATTAACTACCAGTTCTGCTTAATATTGTCTACATATAGGTGTGATTTATAATATCTCTAGAGTGTTTATAGTTTATTGCTGTCCTAATCAACTATTGCCACCCAGTGTAAAATATCATTGAACAGGGCTGGCATCCTCTTTACAGTTTCTGAAATAATTTCTGGAAAAGCTAAAAGCACAGACAGGAAGTTCAAAATTTTCTCAGTAACTGACAAGTTGTTATGTAAAAGCATTTGAAAGGTTACTGTAAACATTATGTTGAATGAATGGCAGTTGTATTACTGGGTTCTGAAGCCCTAAATATGATTGGTACTGGGTTTCCCTTATTGAAAGAACCAATGGGTTTATTTATTTATACACTTTATTGTTTGTTTGCTTTTGTATGTAATGTGTGGAATGGACATTGTATTGGTATGTTTATATTACTGAATCTGTAGAGGTGTGATAACAGATTTATTGGTAATATCCAATATTTAAACATAACCATTCACTTAACTGTGGTGAATACAGACATGTTCCCCCCTTTTAAGGACAGCATTGTTAGATTTGAAGTGCACATGACTTCAATATACTTTTACCTTGTTAGCTTTTTCCCTTTGAAGATATAAGTAGAGGTATTTCCTGCCCTTAAAATCAGCGATCAAACAGGAGTATTTGATCAAAACCCCCAGGAACAAAGTTCATGCCTGCACTATCATCTCCGTTTCACCTTCTCGGCTTATTATCGCAGGTTGAGGGTGGACTTCAAAGCAGTCATTTATCAAAGTAAACAATACCCTTTGACATCGTGGCACTTCTTATACCTGACATTGGTGATCTTTTATTGCCCTCAGGGAAGTGATACTAGCCTCTAATTATGGAATCATAACTGATAGTTAACAATGGGATAATTGTGATTCTGGATAATAGTTACAAAGTGATGCTTCAAGTCTCCAATATGGTGGTGATGTATAAGGGAGTTTTAAGAACTTTCTGAGTGCTGATGTTTGTGAAAACAAGACCAGACAGTACTGTATGGTTTATAATGCAATGAGGTGAGTTTTTGTTATGTTGCTTTTAATTTTATTTTAGAGGTGAAGGTAAGATGAGTTTGTTTGCTGTATTCTTCAGTTTCTTTTTTGTATATGATCCCAATTCTATAGCTCCATCTTCTCAGATAAGAGCTAGAATGAGGTTTATCAGGGATTTAGTTTGCTTTAAAATTTCTGACCATTACCAAGAATTTACACCTTGATTTTGTCTGTATTGATAACATTGACAGAGATTTTCCAAAACTACATGAGAAGATTAAATCTAGATACTTTGAAAAAGTCTGATTGAGACACTAAAAAGTTAATTTTATAATTTGATGATAGATATGATAAAAAAATATTCCATACAAAAAACATGTCTGTTTTTTTTCTTTTTATTGGCTGACAATATTCCAATTTGGTCAGAGTTATTCAGCAAGTTCTTTGATGCATGTAATAGATTTGCTTGCACAGAGTAGCACTTTGTCGCCTATGTTGTTTAGACCTCCAAGCGCTATCAGGTAGATCAAATGAAAACCTGATCCCTCTTTTAGGGTGACCTGCTGTGTGTTGTGGGGACCCCAACTAATGACGAGTGTGGAATGACTGACAAACTCATGCTGGAAATTTGAAATAAATGATACTGTAATATTTGAATTGAATTGGATTGAATTGAACTACCCAACCAGCCTTAGTTCCTCTGATATATAGTGGTGGGCTGTTGATAACAAGTAAGGTTATTGGGACCCTTGGGTCCCTGCCAAGTGCTTTAACAGGCAAGTCTTGTGAGAGTAGGGAAGCCAACTTACAGTGGAATCAAGGCATAAGGAAAGAGGAAGGGTCTTACATGCCTTGGAACAAGATAATAACTTAAGTTCCTCGTTGGGTTAAGTATCGCCAGGTTGTTATTATTTTGATTTTTAGAAAAAGTTGCCATAAACATGCTGGTATTTATCTAATATATGGGATTGAAAACTGAAAGGGAGAAACTCTTCAATTCATTTCTTTCCTTCAATAGAGAAAATAATGTGTAGATTGGTTTAGTTTCCTATAATGATTTTTACAGAATAGGTGTGTGTTGAATTAATAAAAATATATTGTTTGATATTTGCTTGCTGTCGAAGTAATGAAAGTCAGTAGCCTTAGGACAGACTCCAAGGACCCTGATGGATAGCTGGCTCTTGTTTCCATGGAATAATGTTTTAAATTATACATGAAAGAATCAATAGTTCCTCATGTAAGAGTAACACAGTCCCTTAAGTGGCTACTGATTTCAGAGAGAAGGGCATATTTTCTTAGTCTTTAGTGAAGGTTTTGTTGGAATTTCTGTAATTTCATCCCATCCATTTCAATTGTATGGTTTCAGTTATGTGTTTTTTGTTTGAACAATTGAATGTGACCTTTAATTTCTTCATTTGTTAAGAAAGAAACCCCACTGGTTCACCTGAAAAATAAGATTGGTAATTCCTCTTTCACATGCAGTCACCCCTGTTAGACTAGTTGTCATGGTAACCATTTCCCAGACAAGAGATGCACCTGGGAGCCACCATACCACTTAGATTTCTCAAGAGTACTTTTATCTCATTATATGAAAAAATTTTATGGAAATTATCCTTGCATTTTCTTCCTTTGGAATTGGGCAAAATGAATGCATTACTATTTTGATAAATTTCCCAATATTTGTTTCCACGCTAATTGCAAATATAATTGCTGAGAGAACATTAGGTCTTTAAAGACTGAAGCACAAACACAGAAGCAGACCATATGGCAAGGAAAAGCAGGTGATTTATCGACTAGACTCAACTCTTGTCTACTAATCTCCATTGCAGAGTTCACTGGACAATGAAATCCATTAATGAATATCTGAAACAAATGGCACTCTAATAGAACCGAGTAAATACAAAGAATTCATATGGAAATGAGGTCACTCTCTTTAACATTGACTTTGAGGTAATGATGTAATGCAATATTATTTATTCTAAAGATTCCATGCTTTGTCTTTTTGATTCTCCAATTGGATTTTACCATTTTTGTCAACAAAACGATAAAAGTATTACATTTCGCGTCACAAAACGAAGTGTTATTAAGATTCATTATGCAGACAAGCTGAGAATTGTGAACTAAGAAGTCTTTGTCTGTATTGATCATCATACCCAGGTGCAAATCTCTGAATATTCAGAAATCTCATTCATTTTGATACAGGTGAATAAAAAAATCACCCATGTGATGAAAATAGTTAGCTATGTATTGATTCAAGAGAATTGATATGAGAGTGTTTGGGATTTTCACACCTTTCATTCAAACAATTCATTTTATTAATGACAGCGCTGTAAACAGACTATCTATGTATTGATTTTTTTACTTGATGGAGATGAATGTATTGAAATGATATGCATGGATTGTGAGTTTGCACTTGTGCTGTTTCACACTGTACGTGTGACTCAGATTGGACAGAAATAGAAGAGAAGTATTCCTAGTAATGTATGGATGTTGAATGTGCAGTGCGCTGCTATGCCTGTGTATATATTGGGTGTAAAACTGTGCTGATGTTCATTACTGTGAAACACACCTAAAGCAGGTGGGGAGAACATGGATTCAGGTAGATATATTTTGTGTTGGCTTTGTGGAATTTTTATAAGAAAATAAGTCCTGTTTTTTAGCTGTTTCTGGTTAGGGTAAGTGTGTGTTGCATACTTTTTAAGGATAACACAGCCGGGGAGGTATTGAATTGTTTATAAAAGGAAAACAAAGGTGGATTCATCGGGAGTTGATTTTACAAAGTATGCTATGCCAAGGGCTGGGAGAAGCACATGGTAAGAGATCACCACATTGCTGGTGCTGTTTTGATTTGGCAGGAGCTGCTAATGTAAATGTTGTACAAAACAAAGCACAGATGGGGCACTTCAATGGTCACTTGCCTTAGGAAATAGTGTAGAAGGGGAATGTGATGGTGAAATAGAAATATGTGTTTTACTGTCTGGCTGAAATACTTATAGAGAGCTGCATCAGTCATGTCTTTAATCTATGTAAAATACTTGTTTTTGTTTGATCATTTTGAAATTAATTTCATTGCAGATAAATGATAATGATGAAGAAGAGAGACATTGGTATGATAATGAATATATATTAACTGCCCTGGTGTCATTATTCTTTGAACATAGAATGCAAATGCTTTTTTAATAGACATTGTTTGAATTCAGAAATTACAACAAATTTTTATTAATTAGTTTTATATTATATTTGGAATATTATACACCCCACCTCTAACAATTATGTGTTACATCACTATGGCTAAGTTTATTTATTGTTAACTATCAATTCCCAACCTACTTTTGATAGGATGACTCCAGTTTCTGCCAACATACACACGTAATTGTAAAATCTAGCAAATAATTTTTTTAAAAAGTCTTGGTTATAATAACAGTATTGTCTGAGTGATATTTATAATGCCCCCAGATATAAATACCCTGTGGCCAGTATCACTTGATACATTTTCTTACAAAAGTTGTCAACTTTAATTTTACCTCACTGGGTCACTATTTCACTAGCAAAAGGTTGCAGTCACACAAAGTAAACAAACCTAAGGCATGCCTTATTAGTGGAAATAATAGCAGAGTAGACCCTCATTTAACCTGTGCACTGTATTTAATTAAGTCTTCCTAAATAATATGAAATACATGTGGCTCTTGTAAGTAGAATTTGTAGATCAGGATGTATTTAGTTATGAAAAAAAATGTTAGGAGTAGCAAAGAATGCAAGGGCCCATAAGTACAACATGAACCATTGCTGAACTAATGAGATACTTTTGACAGCCCAAAGTCTCGTGACTTTGCATAAAATTGAGGAATTTTTGCCATACTTACATTGTTGATCTGCGTACTAAGGATCCTTAGATAGAATATGGCTAACCCACTTGAAAGCTTACTGCATTATCCCCTGCAGATGATAAGATTGCTAGGGGATGGAGAAATCAGCCTGAAACTGTAACTTAATGGAACATTAAGTCCAATATATGTTAGATGTTCAGGTTGCTCATTGGATTTCAAAATCTAATTATGAAGGGGGGGAGTAATTATCTCAATGTCTGGTGACATCTGATCTAAGTTAGACCANATTTATAGGCACTTGTTATGAGTGGGAAATATTTTTCGTGCAATATTTATTCTCCACACACCACCTCGCGAGATCAACGTGTAGCTGGACACTTACACAGTGAGACCCTGCGACATAAAAGTTGCAATTTATCTTCATATTTCGTGTAGTTATGCATTTAAAAGCACTTACCTGTTTTTTGAAAACCTTGTCCAACGTAATATCATATAAATTCTGTATTTCTCTCATTTTTTAGAAACTTGGGACTCCGTTTCTGTTTCTGTCCTCAAAAATCAACAGACGAAGGCACAGATACTAACAAACGAGATTTAAACGAGATAGCAATTAAGCGTAACAGAGATAGGCATCCATTGTTCTCTGGGTTCTATTCATTCCGACCAATGAGAGACCGTAATACGGGCTCCGCCCCCACGCGTGTAATCTCCTTCTGTTATAACTCCTTGGTTAGACCAGTTGAGAACATAACCTGATGGACAACAGTTTCTGGGTACCTGATAACAATGTATCTTTGTCTTGTACTGAAAGAACTAACTAGGTTATTCAAACTCTCTCCCTTTCAGATGATAACAGCTCAGAGGAGAACAACGCTGCAGCCCCTTTCCTACCCCAAGATGATGTCAGCTTGAGCTCACACTCTACTGGTAGTGGAGGGCACAAGTCACAGAACAGTTCCCCCAGTGGTAGCCCCTCTAAGAGACACAGTGGCAGCCTTGATAGGGAAAACTACAACTACATCCAAGATTTAGACAGAGAGAGGTAAAAATGGATTTTTTTGAGGCTATGTTTAAAGAAATGTAGAATGGGGAAAAAAAGGATATTGATGTTAAGAGGAGCACATTTATAAAGCGCAGGCAATAAACAGTAAGAGGTGGCTTATATTGCTTTCATCACCAACAGTGGCAAGGGAAAGTTAGTTTTGTAAACATAAAATGTGAGGAAGGAGCTACAACATAACCCTAGCAAAAGGTAAGCAATTTGGGACCGTTCGGAATGAAAGATCAGTCACTTAGTTTATCCAGGAGTTTTCAGCAGTGATTCCTCTTATTTCAGCATGTGCATTCACTTTGTACTTTAAGTAGTCCATAAGGCATGACGATGATATTTCTTATGTGATGAAAAGGATTGACAACCTTATTTTAAGAATAAGAAAACTTGGAATTTGGAAAATATCATCCTCATCTTGTTTGGTTCCGAGACAATGAAGATATATATTATGACTGATGTCAGTTTGCCAGACAAATAACATACAGATCTTACATCATTGTTACATGAATAGACAGCATCTGGTATGTTTGCTTGGGAAAGTAGCTTGATACCTCATGATCTGTTCTATTATGTTGTTGGTGCACGTTTCCCAATCTACATTGTCAGACACAGCAGGCAAACATTTCCCTCGATTACTGGAGGACACTTCAAGGCAGCTGATACAGTTTCACTTGGAAGGTGCGTAAGGGAATATGTCTACTTCGCATTCAGTATCAGTTTACATGGAAGAAGTCAGCAAACAAGCAGTAAAAAGAAAGATAATCAATGCTGTGTTCCCTTAGAGGAATTGTAAGATGATACTCTAAAATCAATTATTTTACAGATAAAAGGTGTAGACCTTGCCTTTGTGGAGTTTCTATCTTGCAACTTTGGTCTGAGAAAGGAAAATAGTCTGTGGAGAAATTGTACTGTCAAATTGGTTGTATCCAATAAAAGATTGGGGATGTAATGATTTACAGCATATTTTTAGTTTTGTCTATTAGTGAATAGACACAAGTATGTAGCTGGTATGTCAGTAACAAAATTATGGCAGTGTCTCAGTCTTTTGTGATATTTTATTATATTTTTATCACTATACTAACAATATAATAGTTGGGTGATATAAATTGTCTGCTTTGCTTTTTGTGTCTGTCTTATTTTTAGATGGATAGTATTTTGTAGAACTGTTTCCCACATGTGCTAAAGTAAAGGAAGTTGCCTATTTTTGAATGTTTTAGAGAGTATCTCTGTCCGAAATTGTTACTGTAGCTTGCCCTCCTAACATTTTTTCTTCCCAAACCTAATGATAATATCAACTGCAGCAAACGTTTGCATACATCAGTAGCTTGAAATCTGGCAGTGCACTTTGCTGTCTGAACCTGCAAAACAGATCATACTAGGTTGATGTCAAAAACAAAATAATGAAGGGCAGGAAAAGTGTAGTATTTATGTGAAAGTTCACGTAGACAGCTAAGAAAATCAATACAAGGTTGGGTGGAGATAAATGCCTGTTTTGTTGCAGCATGTGTAGATATTTAGATATACTGTGGTTGAAGTAGCCAAGGCTTTGATGATTCTTTGTAAAATATTTGTTTTCTGGCAAGTGGTCATAAGATGCATTTTTCATTTTAGAACATCATTTTGTGGGTGTTGTCATTGCTTAATAGCCATTAGAGTGTAATATTTAAAAGAATAACAGAGCTGCTGAAAGCTACAAAAGAGAAAGAAATCTCTATTTAATGCTATTGATCTTCAGCAACTTAAAGATGATGCATCTGCCATATTGCTAAAGCCATTGGCCGTGCCCCTGCATCATTTTTCTTCAGATCAATTAGAGAAATAAAGACTGAATTATGTCATCAAGATGACCATTTGACTGGTGGCCATTTTGTTCAGCACACTCTCAGCTAATGGATTTCTGATGTTTGTGGCAATGCTGCTAGACAGCCTCACTGTATTCACTTCCTCTGTTCTGGGTTTCTTTTAAAGTATTCTCAGAGGTCCTTTCCTACCAGGTTTGAATACAAATGTTTTGTACAGGAAGTTTGGCCTGTATAAACTCTGTCCTGGTGTTAGTAGACCAAGTGCAACTGACAGAGAAGTGTGGGTCTTGCTCTCAGAACACTGACAGGAGCAAGTCTGGATGGTAAAGCAATCAGCACTTCAGTTTTTTTCTAATCCAAATTTACAAAGTTAGAAAGAACATTTATCAGTGAGTATCATTGTAATAGATAAGTAAATGCTTTTTCCCAGAGTTTAATATAGAATTGGCATTTTTGCCATGAGTATACAATGATCATCATTTGATAAATCGAAGTTTGAGTGCAAGTCAAGATTGCATACACACAGTGAGTATTGAGGCAAAATATCTTCATGTCTCCTGATGTGCTCAGTGATTCCAGTTGCTATATTGGAACTGACAGAGGTGAACAATATGGAACAGTGCCCAGGTATTCTTTTGAACTGGGCAACCTCACAGCAGTCACATTGCATTTGTACAGATTTTATTGTAAGTAAAGCAAGCCATGTCTTTTATCAGTTCTTGTAGTAGTTTTTAAACAGTTTGGTTCTTTTGATGTTTGAGTTTTTTTTTTTTTTCAATAGACTGGTGTAGGTACTAGTGTTATTGTCACTGTTGTGGAACTGAACAGTTTTTATTGATGGGATATGTGTCCTATGATAGAGTTTGGCATGAAGACCTACACTGTATTAGATCTGAACAATTTTATGTCTAAGGCAAGCATCTAATGGCACTGTATAGTTTGGATGAAGTACAAAATTTGATATGACAACACTGGTGATGCAAAATGATTTGATGTTAAAAATGCCTCAGTTGGGATATGTTTTTTATTACCTTTGTAGTCAAGTATATATATATATATAGAAAAATAATATCCTGACTCTTCAGAATCCCTTTAACCATTCATTTATCAAGATATTCCACAACACTTTACTATATTTCAGCAGTAGATTGATGAATGCTGAATTTTTGACCTGTGCCTAAAAACCAGGTGTGAAAACACATGTTGTGCCATGTTAGAGCAAGGAAAGGTGAAAACACTCAATGCTGCACCCCTTCTCCTGCCTCTCTTAAGTATTTTATTTATTTATTTATTTATTTATTTATTTATGCGGGTTTTCAAAAAACATTATATAAAATATACCTATCTAACAATTTTTTTTCCATATAATCAACTTCTGAACTTTTATTGACCCAGATCACGGATATGCAGCAGTTGATTGAACTGCAAAAATATGGATTTCCTGTGTGAAATTGACCATTCCTGCTCTTCACAGCCAGTCCATCATGAATTCACCAGCCTGTTTCCCATTGCCATTATGATCAACAGAAGTCTTTAGAGACTTGTTTCTTTTGACTGTGACATGAGCAATTTGGACAGGACAGTACCACAGAGAGAGAGAAAATCTCATTACCTGTTAGAATTGCTAACTAGATTGGCTTGCAAAGAACAAAAGTGTGATGTTAATTAGTTTAGAAGCACGGCATATACTAGGACCACTACTAGAGTGTTGAATATGTTTGTGGAACTAAGTCCCATATTTTTGTCAGAATTTTTGTCTTAGTCCGACTCTGTAAAATGCTTGATTATTTGGTAGGTTTTATAATGAAGAAAAACATAAGAAAACATCATCATTATTGTACTTGGGGTATCTGTATTTTACATTCTGATGATACTTTGAAAGCAAAAGTCAAGTTATAAACATTTCAGCATTTTATGGTAATTATTTATTTGTTTAATACTATTATATATATATTTTTTTGGTGGTGGTGGTGGGGGGGGGGGTATTTAATATACCAGAATAGATATCAGCCAGAGTAGGGTTTTCAATTTACAAAAAAAGAAGTTTAAACAACTAGTGGCCTGTCTACTGGATCAGTAACTCAGGGGACAGAGGAAACAAGTTAGATTGAAAATATGCAGACTGGAACTAATTCAAGTCTTGACCCCAAAGATTGGTTTTCATGTTTTTTTCTCCTTTATACAGTCCCAGATCAGAGTTGCATACAAACTATTTAGATATGGTTTATGGCTGGCATTGCACACCCCACTGGTAAATATTAGTGACAAAAATATATATTAAATCACCATGACTTGGTTTGGTCACAGGTCAATGCCAAATCAATATAATTGTTAATTTATTTTACATTAGTGTACCAGTGATTTTCATCTGTTTTAGGGTCTTAAAATACTTCTGAGTGGTCATTTCAGATGAGTTTTGTTTTATTTTTTGGTGTCTTGAAGGTGATGAACTGCAGCTTTGGTGAAATTGTTGCATCATGGACGTATATAAAATGGCTTCAAACCAAAATTTCAGTTTATAAGATGAATCTCAGTCATTATTTTTTTCAGCAGATCACTCCTATTATATTTTCCCATTTAAGCTTTTCAATTTGTCTAGTCAAAGTACAAATGATTTTTATCAGACATCACGGAAGTAAATCAATCAGAGCAAAGCATTAGAAAAGGTTTGAGAATTTGCAGCCAGCATCTCATTAGGTTAGGAGACTGCTATTGCTCCTATTATTAATCACACAGCAATGGTTGAATTTGAAATTACCCTGATGAAACAGACGCAGCAATTTTACACAGCTTTAAGACTTATTTTATATATTCAAGTAGATCAGTGTAAAAAAATTTTCCTTTAATGAGGTAACAGAAGAGAAGGAAAGGTAAATTGAAGTTTTCACCTTATCTCTATTTATTGAATTCTTGGGAGAGATAACTGCCTGTTTTGCTCCCAAGGCATTGTGCATTTATTTTCTGGCAGCAGTTGGCATTTACTGTAGAAAAAAGCAATCAATTACCCAGACACTTGATAATTATGCATGTTCAATTTGTGCAACAGTTTCTCATACCAATATACACAAGGTAGGCGGGTTGAGAAATGTGGGATGATGAAGTATATAACATGGGGTAATAAGTAATATCTATTGTGTTTATGCTTATGTTGCAATACCTGTGTGAGCAATCTACCCTAGTCACCCAGAGGTTGGCTCATCTATCTACCTATGTCGATGTCTTAGAGCCATTACCAAGAGGATCTTCCTCTGACTGGAGAAATATATCCTCCACATTGAATGACTCATCTGTCTCCAGTGTATTTCACCATTAAAGCAGGAACATATTGATTGGCTTTTGGCTTTAACAGCAGACAAGATAATGGATTGTCAGGGGGGAAGGGAGAATCAATACGATCCAATAGAAAATGCATCAGTGAACTAGCCCGATATCGTGTTGTTGACTGAATTATGAACTTCTGGGCTGGCATAGTTGTCATTTGATGGAAATGGAAATTTATGGATGAGTTGTCTGGTTTCTTACTCTGGTGACAAGTCCTCGTGTGCACTGACTGGCACTGGCCATACCTGATGAGGCTTTTCCAATTTTTTTTTTCGTATCAGAATTCCTTCATAGTAGAAGAACTGTTTCCCTGTGACAGGAGCCTTGGTGGAACAGCCCAGGAACAGGGGCAGATTAAGTGCACTTCTAATTTTGGTTACAAGGAATGGGGAGTAATGTTAAGTGGTGGGAGACACTGGGTTGAGGTAAAACTGACACGGGTCATCGGTATCATCACATAATGTTGCATGTGACTATATAGGATAGTAGAAGAAGGAGGAAGATTGATGCTATCTCTCTGTGCTTTAGATTGATCGCAAGTGGCCACAAAAAGAACATTGTTGTGGAATTTTGGACAAAAAGTAAACGTAGCTGATCTTAATCTTGTAGGATCCTAACTGACTGGTTACTTTGTACAGACTTGGACGGAATGTTTTCTAGTCATTATTGTAGAAGAGTTGGGTTTAACCTTTTCTGAAAAGAAAACCTCCGGAGGAAAGGTATGTCTTCAATAGATGACACATTAAGATATAATTTTCTGGCTAGCTTGTTTACTTTGTACAGTCATTCAGTGTTGTTTCATCTTTTGATATGACTGAATGGCAAGATGAAAAGAGTTTTGATGGAAACATAGAAATGATGTGATCAGCTGGATAGGATAAAGTTGTGGAGATAAAAAGCTCCAAATGCACCCATGTGACTCAAACTAAGTGCATGGACAAATTGAATGGTCATTTTGCAAACAGGTATGCAGAATATCCTGACCACAGATTGGAGGTATTGAAATAGTCAATATCACTCTTACATAGAAAGAATGCCAAATCTTTGGTTTGATCCACAAAAGAACACTTGGTTGGTATCCATAGGCAGTAGAGTAAGTATTCTTTTGAGTTTGAAAACAGTTTTGAAATGTGATTGAATAGCTACATTGAGGCGCTTGCTTTTGAGGCATTTGTGTGATTCTGGACAGAGTGGTTATGCTTCCTGATGAGATGATGAATTCCTTAATTGATATATAATTAGATTATTGCTTCTTACGTTATGGTAAGCATATACTTCTTGATATCATGGATGACAGTTTAAACTGCCAATAATTATATTCATTAAAATAGGTAAGTATATATTTGAAGCACTTATTTATTTATTTGTGTTAAAATGTCAGCGTGCTAACAGTTCCATGCTTATAATTATGTTACAAATGTCGATTAGGAAATTAAGTTCTAGTTTTATTGATTTTAATGGCGGTCCAAATGTCTCTGTTTCTGCCCCCCCCCCCCCCCCTCTTCCCAACTTCTACTGGGAGAGGAGGTTTGCAGGGGCATGTGGCCAAAATATTGACAGATAGACAGCTATATGCTATGGCAACATCTTCAGTGAGCAGAGAATTTGTTGGACAAAGTCAGATTTCCTTGGATATTATTAGTAGTAGGGCTCATTTGCTGCAATAGCAATTTCACTTCTGTGGTTTATAAAGCAGCATATTTGATTGTTTGTATCTTTGATCTTCAAAGTTGATATTAGATGATGGAGCTGAACTGAACCACATTCTTTATTTAAGCCCTTAGCTTGATTAAAAATTTATCAACCACAAATATTCTTTTACTTACAGAAACAACATTTTAAAGGATATTGAATCTGAGGAGAAACACAGGCAGTGGTACTATGAACAACTTGAGGATCTCAACAATAAACTGAAAAACCTCCCCTTTACAGAAGAGGTAAGACTGAATTACTTTTTTCTTTTCTTTTTTATTTTATAGTTTTCTCTTTTTTGGATAATGCAGAATTGTGATATTTTTGGATGTAGTTATTTTAGGTATTGCAAATAGTGCAAAAATAGAAAAATATAAAAAATATTCGAGAAAACTGATAATAAAACTGACAGTGGAGTTGAGGACAAGTTTAATGCAATCCCAGAGACTAAAACTCTAGACTTGTCTCCATACTGCTTTCTTGTATTTTCCTACAAAGTACAACAGTCTAGACAGATACATGCAACCTTTTATTTCCTGAGCCATAGACCCAGTGATCCAGTACCTGAACATGAGTCTTCAAAATTGAATTATGGACTTGATGTCTGTTGCATCACGTTCTAAATTTCACCAGTTTTGTGATGAAGGGAGGGGGGAATGTGGAGAACACCTGTAACTATTCTTTGCTTTTATCTGGAGTATTTCACCTTTTTGGCTAAGCCTCTATCATTAGTGTCTCTTGGTTATTGGTGGTGTGATTTATGAGAAATTAATCCCTTTCAACCACCTTTTTACCTTGCTGTATACTGAAGGCAGGTGTTTATAATTTTGCTTCTGCCTTACATGTTTACTTAATTCTTTGTATCTGCTTGATTGATACTGTTTTTAAAGTTTTGCCATAAGGCAGTTTAGTTTTTACATGGGTGCCTCCTAATGATATTTCCTCAAAAAAGCCTTGTACTTATGTGTAAATCAGCATGGTGTTCTTGTCTTGTGCTATTTTTGTCATAGTAAAGGTGGTGGATATGAGAGAGAGAGAGAGAGAGAGAGAGAGAGAGAGAGAGAGAGAGAGAGAGAGAGAGAGTAAAAATCTGTTGAATAAAAAGTGTGATCTTTCTAAAAATTGAAGTTATATCTCTCACTCCATATGGTTTTAAAGCTATCTCATTGTATGTATGCCTTTCAACCCAGTCTTGCATGTTTATTGCTTATTTGATTCTAATTTTATTTCCTTTGATCATGGCTCCAATTTTTACTGCGCTGCCATTATCTTTATGTTGCAAAAGGATATCAATATCTACCTTAGCAGTTTTAGAGAAAATGCAAAAAGCGCAGAATTTTATGATATCACATGAGATTATATTGTTATAAGTAGCAAGACAAATAATTTGAAATAAATGTTAACTAGATGAAAAAGGGAGGATGACCCCTACCTCAGGTTAAGTATGATTTGATGACACATGCATTGAGAAAGGTTCAGATTAGGTTAATATACAAGTTTTCATGCCATGATAGATTCTTTGTCTGGCTTAAATAAATTGGGACAATACAAGCTACTTGTATAAGATATGAGCTTTTTTCATGTCATATGTATTCAAATACAGTTTTGTTCTTTTGCATTTATTTTTAAGGTGCATTACGTCTATTGTTAGTTTGATGCCTAAAAAACAAAACATTGAGGACAGATCGAAAATAATTATTTTTGCCTCCTCATGTTACTTAATTGGCACTATTATATTGCCACTTATAAGAAATTCCAATGGACAACTTTTTTTGAAGAAGGTTATGTCCTAGTACAAAAAATTCTTCTATTCTATTGATTTCATTGTTTTTCAAATGACATCTGCAACTCTTTGCCCTCTCTGCCAAACAGTCCTTGTATATTGTTTATAAACCATTCTTACTGAAAAACAAATATCAATATCTTAGTGAAATTTTCTTTGGAAAGGTGCCATGGCAAATGCATCTTTGTCAGAAGAAAAAAAATAATAATAACCTCATAATTTTTATCACTGCTTAATTATCTCCTCTGAAGAGTAGCGATAACAAAGTATAATTGATGACTGTAATTATGATGACAGAACGCCGGCATGATGACTTTCCTGTGACACATCAGGTGAAATGAGTGGCTTGATTCCTTCAGAGCAGATATCCAAAGCTTTGTCTTCAGTGAGAGAATTCAATATGTTGTACAGATTGTAATCAAATCAATGTGATTTACTATCCAGTACTTTTCTTTGTTCTCTGATCTATGGTCTGCACTGAGAGCTATTCAAGCAGCGAGTATATTGTTTTTTTAAAAATTATTTTTATTCAAGAGTTGATTTGCATGCAGTTTTCTCCCAGTGACTATATTAATAGCACATAAGTTAGCTATCTGCTGTTTTATAATAATTAACTATATTATGTCAGAGCTATGTTTACATACACATAGGATATTATCCATTAAAATCCATAGCAGGAAGCATTGCTGATGATAATTATGTACTAAGTTTAGAATTAATGGAGATCATTATTAATTCCCAATACAGGTATGTTAACAGGCATACCATTTGACACGATCCTTATATAATCTGTTAATAAGTGCTGATTGATTCCCTAAAGCCTGTGTGTTCTTGCCTTATAAACGGTCAAAAAACAGGTATTTTAACACTAAGACTAGCTGCCTTACATGACTGTTACATGTGAAGTTGATTGATGTGGGTTAAATTCCTATGTGGAAGAGGTGTGATGTAATTCAGTGAATCTCAATAGACTTTTTCAAGTCCACAGTTGCAGAAAGAGACCACATTTGGGATTCAAGGCTGCTAACGAACACTAATGATTCCATGAATTTTCATGCCATGTCAACAATTTAAAGCACCTGCCATCTCAAAATTTTAACCACAAAATGTTGTCATTGTTTATTTTCAAAAAGCAGGAAAAGCAATTTAATGACTTTAAAATAGATTTCAGACTACAGAAGTCATGTAAACTGTTCTTTTACTTTGTAATGATTGTTATTATTCCTTAATATTGTGCAAGTATTTCCAACATAATTTATGACTATGTCAGCAACTCAGCCAGTGTTCGAGGTTTTGTAATAAGCTTGGGAGTTTAGAGACTTACCATCAACGTAGGAGATCTCCATGAATCACAACTTTAAGAAGAAATAATCAATAAAAATAAGCAGGAAGATTGGGCGAAATATTGATTGGATTTTTACAGTGCAGTGTGTGTAATGGGGCCCATTTGGCTGACAATATGCAATGTAAAAGCATTTTCCGGCTTTGCCATTCGTGTATAAGAGAAATAGATGTTCATCTAGAAGATTACATCTCGATTTGATGTTCTAGTGAAACATTTACTGTTAAGGTAAGCTGAATACAACAAACTTGTGGTGATTTAGGAGATTAATTAGAAATTTACAGAATAATGTTGTCATTATGAAGAAGACACTTGAATAGCATCCAGGCTCCGGTCTGTCCTCCTCAGCTCAGTTGATTAAAAAACAACATGCAATATCTAGACAGTCACAGTGAAATGCCATCTAGGTAACTAACTGTAATGTTCTTTTCCCAATTCCCTTTTGCCTTTCCAATCCCATCGTAATGTTGGGATAGTGCTTTGGGCGTTATTGCTGAGAAAAAAAATTAAACCTTTTTATTTTGATGTTGGGTTCACCATCCACAAATGTTGGATTATGTTAAATTATGCATTATGGATTTTTATTCACATGTAGGGTAGCAGAATTATACATTTTAATGGCTCCCCCCTCTCCATTAAAAGTAATGTAGAAATTTCAAACCTAACTGTATGAAATACCCATTAAGATGAAACCTACACTCATCATGCTAATTTGTTAAGTCTGACGTTTACCAATGTAAGCTGTTGAAAAGGATTCCTAGCGTCATCAGTCAGTGTCACGCCTGTGACATGATTGCAGTGCTCGGGGTCCTCCTAGAGGGATGAGCCAATAGAGAAATTAGGCAACCGAAAAGAGAAATTAGGCAACAGTTCTTTTAGTACTTTTAGTTGAAGAGAGTCTAGGAGGTGCTCGAGTGCAAGATACACTTCGCAGGTGGTTTTGTGATGAAAATTTTGAAGGTTTCCAAGCAAGCAAGTGTGATTTGAGAGACTTCTGCTCATAACTTTGTGATAGATTTTGATGACAACCACTTTATGTGATTAGTATTGTAAAGTATCTGGAGGAGAGAATACTTAGATATAAAAATGATAACATTACAAGCAAAGGAGAATTACACAAAATCTACAGGAGGAAATGTTCGTGCAGAAGAAAATTTTTCACTGTTTCAAAAGGTACAGCAGCATTCAGCATATCCTAGACTGGGTTTTGGGGTGTATGGTTTTAATGTTTGTGATTTGAACATGTATAAGATAATGCATAACATTTTTTAAAAGAAAATTTGTGTCAGTTATCTTTCCACCTGGGAAGTTCTCACCTGATTGCTTTGAACATTTGAAAGATCAAACAAAAAGAATACTTTAAAAATCCCCAGGGGTCATAGGAATATCAGCCGATCAATTATTTTTTTGCTCTCCCATCTATTTTTCCTTAAGCTTTTTCTCACATGTATCAAAGCCATTTCATCTATCCGTCCTCATCTAGATTGGTTACTATTGGGAAAAGATGAGCTGTTTCAAGTGGATCCCATTTAACCCAGATTTAGTTCCATTTGAAGTCTGCTTTGAAATCACAAGTCATGAAGTAGCTAAATGGACATAAATCTTTTAAATGAACGTAGTATTCTACTGTCTGTTTGGTAATGGGGGTTTCACCAAGTAGTGCACTGGGGAGAGAGTTTTTGGACTAGACTTCTTTTTTGATTGACCAGGGATCATCTGGACAAACATGCAGGTACAAAGGGGTTATGTTGATCATAATTGTAGTTCAACTCTATGCATTTGGTTTAAATTTTTTTTTGCAGTGCTGCAAATATTATCATCAAGTGCTCATTTATTTGGGTATCTTTACGCTTGGGTTTTTATGTTGATAAATAATTGTTAGGCCACATTTTGTAATCTAGATGTTTATATTTTATTTATTTATTTATTTTGATTATTTTAATTTTAGATGTAAGAAAAGCCTAGAGCAAAACCTAATGCAAAGGGGGTATTGCTTTTATTGGTTACTGTTTCTTCAAATGTGTCTGTATTATGTAGGCAAGGTTGTTCACTGTCGCCTTGGAAGCAATTTGAATTTCAAATAAGGGTTACTCATAGTAAACAAGGTACTTTACTACATGACCAGTAAACTTGAACTGAACTATTATCTGGAAATGAAGACATGCTTTTTCAGAATGGAAATCAACTGATATAGCTTAAAACAAGGCTGCTAGTACACTGTGATGTCATAAGAGCCTACAAAATGTATGAGAATAGTTAACTTTTAAGTGGTAAGGGCAAAACTTTATGTGCTAGGAATGTCATCTTAGAAAACAATACAAAAGTGACAATCAAAACATGCTATGAATTTGACAGAACTTACGAGAAAGCAACCAGAAAAATATCTGTAGATAAATTATGTTAGTTTTTATTATGTACAGACACAGATGTGTCTGTACATATTGCCATCACCTGCGTCTGTCGTCGCCGTCGCCGTCGGCGCCGTGCACTTTCCTTGTAAACACGATAAGTGGAGGGCAGTTTTACTTTTTGGCTTTATATTTTCAGAGATGATGAATATTCATAAAACGCAGGTCAAGTTCGAAAATCAGCATAATCGGGCCATTATTGTAGAAGTTATGCTGTTTTTTCACTTTTCAGCATATATGCAACCCTGTAAACACATTTTAAAGAAAACCGTTAGGCCTGNCCTGAGTTGGAAAAACAGTCTAATTGGCTTCTTTTTCTGGAAGTTATACATTTTCAAAGTGTGAACTTGTTACACATTTTACTTATATTGGTATTACCTGTTGAGCATAATTAAAATTTGATATTGAATTTGCAGTTTAACATAATGTACTTTTGCATCAGAATTGACAGTAGCCTATTTTGAGCATAGTTATTTCCTGTTTTTTGTCTGTACATTTGACAGCTTTGCTGCCTTGTTTGTTCCTGTGCTGCAGTTACTAATCTCACATGATTTTGCACCACATTGGCAATATGGATATTGTGGATGATTCTCATCGTTAGAACACTGTAGCCAACCCATCATGCAGTAAAACTTCCTCTTTTATGATAATGAAGCATACAGTATTTCTATCGTAACTAAATTGCCATTAGTATAATTAGAGTTTTTGTGCTGTCTTTTAATTGTTTGTATAATGAAAGTACCATAGACAGTGGCAAAGGGATTAAGTGCTTTTTTCATTAAGTGTATGTTTGGATATTACCTGATATTTGTTGGAGTAAGGATATGTTTTTGGATCCATACAATACAAACGATATAGAATGTAATTATCACAGGTGCCAGATTCTCACACATATTTCTGTTTTCAAATAAAAAGATATATGTAATCATCCNTAACCATTATGTAATATGGCATCAGAATAGAAGAAAACACAATTTTGGGTGCTGCTGCCATGATGACCATTATGGGAAAACCATGTTACTTATGATTGCCAAATTTTCAAAAAAGAAATACGGGACTAAAATGCAGCCTGAGTTGGAAAAACAGTCTAATTGGCTTCTTTTTCTGGAAGTTATACATTTTCAAAGTGTGAACTTGTTACACATTTTACTTATATTGGTATTACCTGTCGAGCATAATTAAAATTTGATATTGAATTTGCAGTTTAACATAATGTACTTTTGCATCAGAATTGACAGTAGCCTATTTTGAGCATAGTTATTTCCTGTTTTTTGTCTGTACATTTGACAGCTTTGCTGCCTTGTTTGTTCCTGTGCTGCAGTTACTAATCTCACATGATTTTGCACCACATTGGCAATATGGATATTGTGGATGATTCTCATCGTTAGAACACTGTAGCCAACCCATCATGCAGTAAAACTTCCTCTTTTATGATAATGAAGCATACAGTATTTCTATCGTAACTAAATTGCCATTAGTATAATTAGAGTTTTTGTGCTGTCTTTTAATTGTTTGTATAATGAAAGTACCATAGACAGTGGCAAAGGGATTAAGTGCTTTTTTCATTAAGTGTATGTTTGGATATTACCTGATATTTGTTGGAGTAAGGATATGTTTTTGGATCCATACAATACAAACGATATAGAATGTAATTATCACAGGTGCCAGATTCTCACACATATTTCTGTTTTCAAATAAAAAGATATATGTAATCATCCTATGTAATCAGAAGTATTGCTTTCTCTGCCCTGCAGATGCAAATTATATCCTGGATGCTGTCCTTTGCTGGGAGTATTGATCACTCGGAGAGAACAAAATTAGAAAAATGGCATCTTGTTATAAATGTAGTCTAGATCGATCACGCCTGAATTTAAGCAGGTTTGCATGTTCTGTTCTATCTGAGAGTGTGTTTGTATGTATGTGTTTCCATAGATTAGAATGGCAGATAAGCATGGAAAGCTTGCTGTTTCACATAATTTATCTGATCGAATTTGGTTTGATTCAGTATTGGGTGTCATCTCCCTGAAGTGTGTCTGTTTTTGTCTGGAGATTACTCATGTGGTACTAGTATATATTGAGTTTTTCTTGATATGATTCCAGTATAATCTGCAGGCTGATATGACCCGCAGACAGCTGGAGTACGAGCTGAAGCGGCTTCAGCTGGCCATGGAACGCCATCTTGGGCCCACAGATCAGGCCTCCACTCGCCATGAAGCTCGCCTTCAGAGAATCCGTATGATTGAGGCAGAAATGTTACGTCTTCAGAAGAAACACAGGGCACAGATACAGGTGGGGTCATGAGCTTTAGGAAATTAAGCTTTCATGTATTGTTATGTGTAATGACACAAATATTTCAGTATATTTGTGACTGTTTGACTATGAACAAGTCCGACAGGTACTGCTGACAGGTAATGTCTGATCTGGTAAATTTCCCACCTTTATGCTAGTTATAAAAGTTTGCTGTTGTTCCCATGTATCTTTATTGTATTCATAGATTATTTGTCTATTTTAATTTAGTCAGAACTTTTCCAATTTGTTATAATCATTTGATGATTAATGTAATTAAAAAATCTTATCACTTATATTCTGTACATGTTTTCACAACACACACTAGTGCATGCAAAATTCTGATGACACTTTATACTGTAAGTTATAGCAGGGCAGCTGCTTCATAGGACCCCTTCCCCCAAGTGCAGTGTTGTTGTCCTTATAAAACTAATTAACCTTCTGTCAACTTGGAACAGAACCTTTGACAGTGACAGGGGCAACATTTGCTGGGGAATTACCCTAAGTGCTTTTGAGTAATTCCATTTTCATATTAAGTAAAAAAAGACACATTTGAAAACAACTTCCCTTTTTGTTGAGAAAATTGAGTAAAATGAACAGTCTCCAAGAGAGGAGAAGCGATGTCGCATGGAATAGGACCGCTGGCAACTGCTTGCTGATGATGTATACTGTTCTGGCAATTGTTTAGAAATACTCTAGAAAAAATTGCTCTGTGCAGGGCATGTTGTTATCAGCTTCATGCCCCAGGAGTTGAGACATTTATAAATTTTAGAATCTGGATAACATTTAGAAGAAAGAAAAAAAGTTCAGACCACAGGGTGGGAGAGCCCAACAGTATGTCATATGTAAGGAGTTGTGCCGACATTGCACAGCATCTGATACTTTATCATCTTTGACATTCAGTAAAGAGAGACTGAGTAGATATCCCAGCTTGGGTACATTTATCCTTGTAAGTGTAAGAAGTTGCCCCACCATGCTGAGAACAGGTATCTGTGCACTCTAAGAAAAACAAGAAAGATCTTCTCTAAGCTTTTTCTCCATTGAAGCCCTGTGGTCATTTTCTAAAGTAAATGCATAAAAAAACCCGTCTTGTTAAAAAATCTTTTCTCTACAAGATACACCTGGCTGACTTTTGAAATGGGATATGTTTCAAAAAGATTTCCAATGCAATATGCTTTTGTGTTTGACTGTTAATGATGCGTAATGAGATCCATACATAAAAATATGTCTGCAGCGGCTGCATTAAATAAGCACAAATTGTATAATGTCTCAGAGCAAATGGATTTGGGTCTGTTGGAAGGAAATGAGGGCTTTGAGATCACACACAAGCGCTTTCTCTTAGGCGCGCTGCCTGTAGTAATCAAATGTGGGAAGTTCTAGTTTATTGGCTGTTGATTGCTGGAAGAACATAGTGACCTATGTAATTTCCACCGACTCTGTGAAGTGCCCAATCCCATGAGGAGGAAATTGATTTGGGGGGACTCCTGCTTTCATGTAGGCATCAATAAATGAACCATACACTTTCCCATGGATGATCAGAACAGATGCTGCTGCTGACTTTGCTTTGGTTATAGGAGGCTGATACAAAATGTGGAATATCCAGATCTTTTTGGCTATTAGTTACTGCATTTGTAGGGATTGGCGGCCTTTACTTACGGTGAAATTCTGAATTTTCAGAGATTCTTTTTCTCATTTTATGGATTGGATAACTGGGATATACAGGTAATTGTGTCAAACCATGGGAAAGTCAGTTGACCATTGTGGAGAAGATTTATGTGTTCAATTGCACCCAGACCATTGAGAACATTGAAAAGAGAAAAAAGTTGGTTTTATTGCAATGGATTGAGTGCCTTGTGTTCAGGAAAACAACCATTATTTCATTTGAAACACAACATCTGTGCATCCTAATTCATGTTATCTGTATCTTATCTGTTCCCTGTTGAGATCAGTTCTGTGAAGACATCTCTATATATCAGCTGTGTATCTGTGTGTTTTAGCATGAGAAGGAGAAACGCGACTCTGGAAGCTGTGACCACAACGAACGTGAGCAGGATGGGATTGTGGTTATGGACGCAGCCACAAACACTTTTAATGCACAGGTAAGATGGTGTGCGTGTGTGTGTAGAGATGAAAGACGCCATTTGTGTGGGTGGGGCAAGACTGTAATGAATACCACTGTATCACAGTGCATTTGGGCAACTGTAGATATCTTTGATCATGTCAGTCTTGGACTTGTAATAGAAAAAAATTAATGGTTTGCTTACACTTCGTAAATTCCTTTATGCTTAAAATTTTACCAAGATAATGCAACTGTTAAGAAAAAGGGACTGTTTATATTAACATCAACATAAATGATTTTGAAGTCGGTATTTGTGATGCACCTTTCCCCAGCAGTTATTCCCTTCTTTGCTGTACCATTGGCATGAAAGCAAAGCACACTTTCACACCCAAGTACTACTAAGACATCTGTTTGGCAATTTCAGGGTTTAGCACCTCGGACAGTTCCAGATCGCAGAGCCCAGCCATACTTTGATGCCTCTCTGGCCGTTGGTTTTGGTGCCACTAATGGATTTGATGCCCATTTGAATGACCTGGCCAATAACCATAACTTGTCTTTGATGTACCATGGGTCCTGGCCTATAAGTCAAGGTAGGAGGAGGAGAATAGGGGAAATTTGTGTGTTTGTATGTGAAGTATTAAGGTGCTGAGAGAAAGTAGAAAAGTTACATATGTCATTTAAAGTGCAACTCGTAATGTGTTACTTTCTGTAGGTGACTTACTTGGGTTTTGATGTGATTGACTGTTGTGATTTAACTGAAACCACTTGCAGCTTTTGATTCTATTGGTTTACTTTAACATACAGAAATTGTGGAGTGTCATTTGAGGTGAATGATGGTTTGAAATAATGTGTTGTAATGGAAAAAAAGTGAAATACACCAGTAAACCTCTGACTCAGTGACACTAATTCTCAGTTTCTTTTAAGTATATGTCAGCTGCATTGTAGCGCAAGATTAATGGAAAAGCTTAATCATTTTTAGGAGTGAGAAATTTATTGATTTTTGGAAATAGATGCTATAGAGTTACAGCTAGACATTTAAATGAAATTATACAATATTAGTTGTGATTCACAAGCAGAAATTGCTTTTAGCAGTATTTTCTCTCTTTGTTGACTTAGGAAAGATTACCACCAGGTGAAAAAATTAAACAGTTTTTGCACTTTTGATAAGAACATTAAATGTATTTTTTAATTAAAGGTTAAATGAACAATTTTAATATCAGGTATTGCTTGTTATTTTTATTCCAATCCTTACTAGTGAACCATTAAATTCCATTTATAATGTACCTATAATTAAACCACTGATGAATTTTTCAGGTGCTTCGGGTTTGGGACCTTTTGGGAACCAGGAAACTGCCAGCGTGATGAGTTTCAACTCCAGCAATGCATCATCTGGGTCTCGTAGGGGGCCTGCTGTTGCTGTGACCAATCAACAATTAGGGACAAAGGTAAGCTGTGACACATGGGACAGGTGTAAAAGTTGGTCACATTTCTCACAGTAGTAACATGGTCAGCAGTGCCTGGGCTTTTTGTGTTGGGGTGATCTGTGCTTATCTGGTGGATTTTATTTTACAAGGGAAGAAATAGTATGTTACAACATAGAGGAATAGAAAAGAATCTTATTTTGGGGTTGAGGAATAGTGGAAAACACTTTATAGGAATTTAAAAGCACTTTTTTTGTGGTGGTGGACTCTGATGTTAAAATTGTTTTAAATACTGAAAAAAATTGAAATTTTTTCTTGCAAATGTACATAAAAAAATCGAGGGAATAGATCACCATATTAACTGGGACCACTTTTAGTGGATCAAAAATAGGCTGTCTGTGTATTTTTATCCTGAATTGATGAGTGAAATATTTTTACTTTCATGAGAAATGTTATGAACTTTGCAGTAATGGCTTGTAGTCTGATTTAGTACACTTGAAAGCACCATTATCCTGCTTTATGTAGTTAGCAGGAAATTACAACACCTGCGTACATCTTCCAACTGATGAAGTTTATAAGTTGTTTACCAGTAAGGTATAAAACTTCACCAAATTGTAAAGTTCCTTTTACTTAAATGTAAAAACATAGTTTATATATTTCTTTAACTTAATTATTAATGTTTTGACTCCACAATTTGATTTGAGTAAAACTTTTTGACAATTTAGCTAAATCAAATTATTTGTTAGAGGGAGCCAAGCCACTGCAGATATTTACACTCAATATTTGTTCACCAAACATGTAAGAAGTATAGTCTGTCAAACAATATAATGATACATTGTTTCACATATGTATGTCACAAAAATACTTTTCTTTTAAAATATGTTTAAGGAATTAGACATTATTATCATTATATAGAAGGAATTCAAATTTCAAAGAGATATTTCTTAGCTGGCTACTTTTTTCTCAATGATATGTTTCCCATTATTGTAGAGGAAACGGTGGCTACAAAATCTGAATATCCCACCCTCGCCTACTTTTTTCCGTGAAGTAGATAAACCTAGTAACTTACAGGTATATCTTGTACAGGTTTGAAGTGGGAATAGCTTGATGTTGTCTTAGCAGACCATATCATCAAACTGTGCTGTGTGGGTAGCAGTTAAACCAATACTCTTGTGTAATTGTAGTCCTTAGATCTAGTTTAAAATGAACAAAGATTGTGTCTTAAATTGGTTTTTATCACTTAAAATTTAGTATTTGCCGTAGACTTGAATAAGTTCTCTATTTCTGTCACGTAGAAACTCAAGATGGCATTTGAAAATGTATATGGTACACAAAAAGGTATATGCTATTAAAGAATTATGGAAAGCAAGATCAATACAGTGAAACTATGCTTCATCTATGTATAATTGAAGGAGTATTCTTCAACACTAAAACATACTTAGGAGAAGCTGTGCACCAGCTTTAGTTATCTCACTTCTAAGAGCTGTCTTTCATCCCAGACATGCACAGTTTGTGATATGATCAGTGCGGTTGACTTGGTTGTCTGATGAAAAATATTGATTTTTGCTGTTCAGTTTCAGTTGGTGGGCAGAAGTTGGTGATATTTTTTCCATGTTTGAATTTGCACAAGCTTTTTCTTCTCAAATGGCTTCCTCTCCTTGATTTGTATGCATCATTAATCACTCTGTTGTTGGTTACACACTGATTCTGATTGAATTACTTCATAGTCTTAGCATAGTCTTGTCTGTGAATCTAAAAGTGGCTGTTCATTATATTAAGATTTGACATGCTTTTATCATTTATGAAAGCTGGGTAACATAGTCAAGAAGTATTTACACTGAAAACAAGTGATCTGAACAAATTCGTTTTTTATATCTTTAATCCAATATTTTAAAATTAACAGCACCCACATTACTAATTAACCCGAGTGAATTAAGTCTGATGATTGCCTTAAAAAGGTGGAATACTAGTCACATCCTACAAAACAGTTGCATGAAAATCAACAGAAGAATGTCTATAATGACCATCATGTCTTTTTGGGAAAGGATTTAGATTAATTTATGTGCTGTTTTCATTACAGGTGGAGATGGTCTATTCTCTGCTGTCTATGCTGGGGACACATGACAAAGATGACATGAGCAGGACATTGCTGGCTATGTCCAGTTCTCCAGACAGCTGTATAGCCATGAGGCAGTCAGGTAAGGGAAAAGTAAAAATATATCTTCAGGAGTATAGTGGTATCTATTTTTACATATGTATATATACAGACTGATTCTGCTTGACAGTCCTCTATCAGTTTTCATTTTATTGCGAGTCTTTTTGAATCAATACAGTGATCTAATCAAACAAAAAATGAAACCCCAAAAAGACCACTTGAATAAGTCTTCGTTTCTTTGTGTAGATGTTGTAAAGGGAGAAGAAAATAACTTAATTGAATTAATTGTCTAATGACATGGTTTTTGTCTTAATGCCAATTATTTGGCTGTGTTTCCAGGTTGCCTTCCACTGTTAGTCTCCCTACTCCATGGCAGTGATAAGGATGCGGGGTTGCTAGGCAACACCAGGGGCAGCAAGGCGGCCAGGGCAAGAGCTGCTGCAGCCCTACACAACATTGTTCACTCACATCCAGATGATAAAAGAGGGCGCCGGGAGGCCAGGGTGCTACGCTTGCTGGAACAGATCCGAGCTCACTGTGATCAGCTGCGGGGAGATTCGGAAGAGGAAGAGAAAGGTCAGAAGACTAAAGTGAATGGTGGAGGTGAGAAAGGTGACCCTGGTGACAGTTTGTATCCTGATGAATTATAGAAATCAACTTTTGGTTATTAGTTAATACTGATTATTGAGATGTTTTCATTTAAGTGTATAGAAGTGTCATTGTTAAAAGATGACAGTAAAGCAAGTTAGATAATTGTATTTCTCATTATGATTGGCCAAGTCCCCATTACACTGTATTGTGTGCATACACAGATTCAGTTTTATACAGTTTTGTAAATGTTTCTGTAACTTACAAGATCTTACATTGTTCACAGGTGCTCGTCCATCAGACTTTGACCACCATCCTGGCCCTGCCATAGCAGCTTTGATGAAGCTCTCTTTTGATGAAGAACACAGACATGCCATATGTACACTTGGTAAGTACAGATAATGAAGAACTAATGTGTTTTTATGAGTTTCAAATTCATTTTATATGTACAGTAATAGAGATTTTTTGTGTGTATTTTATTTGCAGAAGTATAAATGCTGGTAAAGGAGCTAAACACACAATGGCTTTATAGATTACCAGTGATTATGTAACAGTAGTTTTGCTGTTCAGTAATGCGGGCTTTTTACTCTGTTTTCAGGTGGCCTTCAAGCCATTGCAGAACTCTTACAAGTGGATCATGAAACGCATGGCAACACAACAGACCAGTACAGTATTACCATGCGCCGTTACGCATGCATGGCTCTCACAAATCTCACGTTTGGTGACGGAACAAACAAGGCATTGTTGTGTTCCATGAAATCATGTCTCCAAGCCTTGGTCTATCAACTGGAATCTCAAAATGAAGACTTGGCACAGGTTGCTGCTAGTGTTCTGAGGAATCTGTCCTGGAGAGCAGACTTACAAAGTAAAAAACACCTCCGTGAGGTTGGGAGTGTGACTGTCCTCACAAAAGCTGCCTTGAGGGTGAAAAAAGAATCTACTTTAAAAAGCATTCTGAGTGCATTATGGAATTTATCGGCACACTGCAGTGAAAACAAGGCTGATATTTGCCAAGTGGAAAACGCATTGGCTTTTTTAGTCAGTACTCTAACTTACAAAAGTCCCTCTAAGACACTTTCAATTATTGAAAACGGAGGTGGCATTTTACGAAATGTCTCAAGTCACATAGCTGTGAGAGAGGACTACAGACAGGTGCTGCGTGATCACAACTGTCTTCAGATATTGTTAAAACACTTACGATCTCCTAGTTTGACAATCGTCAGTAACGCCTGTGGCACGCTATGGAATATCTCTGCACGGAACACCAAGGACCAGCAAGGTCTGTGGGACATGGGTGCTGTGAACATGCTGAGGAACTTGGTGCACTCCAAACACAAAATGATTTCAATGGGAAGTGCTGCCGCCTTGAAAAACTTGCTTTCTGCAAAACCCTCTGTGTCTAACATGGATGATGACAGTAAACAAAAAACCAACATGCCTACTTTGCAGATTCGAAAGCAACGGGCCTTGGAGGCGGAACTGGATCAGGCATTAGCTGAAACTTGTGACAATCTTGACAGCCCGCAACGAAGCCCTACGGAAACTAGAAAACAACGAGAACAGAACGGGCCCAAATATCTCTACACAGGAGATGGCTGTGGCTTGCAACAAACTAATGACTCGGACAGCCGCGGCAGGCTTAAGAACTATGTGCAACCCAGGGGCAGCACTGACGCCTCTACTCTCATGGAGGGCAAATATCACGTGACATCACACAGAGAAGTGACTCATTCTGGGAGCAATGACAGTGTAGGTGGTGGACAAAATGATCCGCTGCCTCCCCATGAACAGTCTCGTGTTCAGAATATGTTGACTAAAAGCACAAAACTGGTAAATGAGAGACAACAACATCAGCATCAGCAACACCAGATTTTGAATGCAATGTCACCAAAGAGAGATCCTGGGTTGCTTCACAATATGCATAATTTACAGCAAGTGCAACAACAGCCCCATGCAGACAGCAGGGATGGGGGTGCACCTGGTGGGATCCCACCCAACAGTCGCATCATGCAGGTAATGCAAGAGGTTGCCCAGGCTGCTGGACTACCTGGAGGGAAGGACCCCCCGAACCAGCAGCATCAGCAGCCATCTCAACCCACTCAAAACAGCTGGCCAAACTCTGCAGCATCATCCTCTACAGGGGGTCATGTCAGTCGGTTGCCTGTTTACACACAGGGCAGTGCCCATCGCCACAGACCAGATGGTTCTTCAACCAATCCCCATGGAGTGACTAATGGACCTGTTGATGGTAAGAAGCTGCACCCTGACAAACACAATCAGCTTGCCAACAGTGTCAACCTGTATGATGGAGGTCCCAGTCATGACCAGGCCATCAACTACAGTTTAAAATACTCTGAGGCTAGTTTAATGAACAGTCATCCCAGGCCACAATTGCCACACCATCATCAACATCCTCATCATCATCCACAGGCCCCAGTAATGTATGGGAGGCCCCCTGTGCCAAAAGTTGGGAACTATGTGGCAGTTTCCTCACCATATGCTCAAAGAAAGCCTAACATTATTTACAATGCCATACGCCCACCCACAGCTGCCAGGCAGCGGTATGATAACAACAAGCCAGACAGTGGCGCACCCTATCCTCCTGGCAGTTACACAGGTTATGCTGAAACAGATCTGGATAATGACCAGCCAACAAATTTCAGTCTTCGTTTCCCAGAGGCACAGGAGGAGCAGCCCACTAACTATGCCGCACAGGGACAGTATGCTGAAGGGGGAAATCCAGCTTGCTGGAGGTCACAGGCCCATTCGTGGGGGGTCAGGGGGAAATGCTTACATGGAGGATAACTTACCTGGAATGCACGATGACGAAGTCACTACCTTTTACACAGAAGGCACACCACTGAATTTCCTCTCGACGGCCACTTCTATGAATGACTTGACTGGGAGGGTGGCCCACTTGGATCTAAACAACCAGAGTGCGCCACAAGAGTCTCTGTCAGAACATGCCTCTGATGAAGCTAAAAACTTTGCTGCTAAGTACTCAGAATCTGAGCATCTAAGCGGCTCTGGCACTGCCAGCAGTGAACACAGGACTGGGTCCACAGTAGTAAGTGCAATGCAGGATACTGCTCCAAAGCAGAAAAGTCCAGAGGATGAAGTAAAAGAGCACCAGTATGAGTCCTTCTATAATGACGATGCACATAATCCACATAGTCCTCTGGAGAAGACGAGACAATTTTGTGTGGAAGACACACCTACCTGCTTCTCCAGGGTCAGTTCTCTGAGCAGTTTGAATAGCAACGACGCTGAAAAAGATCACCGAGATGTTCACCAGCTGCATGAACAGCAGGGGGCACCACTTAACACAATTCACGAAGTGCAGCCACCCACACTTGATGAGCAAGGGAAATTCCCGCAGCAGAATTATAGAGTTCAACAACAGCACCATCAGCAACAACATCATTTACAACTTCAACAACAACAGCAACAACATCATCAGTCTAGAGAAGTGGGAGGTGGTGCAGAGAGTGCAAACACGTCCTTGGCTTCGGAGAGAGCAAAAAGTGTTACCTTTGATGATAACAACCAAGTACAGGAGACTCCTCTGATGTTTTCAAGGTGCAGTTCTCTTGGTTCTTTAGACAGTTTTGATGTCCACTCAGTACACAGTTCAGTAATGAGTGATTACAGTAGGCGTGCCAGTGAAGTGGTCTCTCCCAGTGATCTGCCAGACTCTCCCAGTGAAACCATGCCACCAACACCAAGAAGGAGCGAGTCACCTGCAAAATTCAATAACAATGACACCAAGGATTTAAAGGGCAGAAATGGTCACGCCAGACCCCCCAAGGCCACCCTTCCTAATCTTCCAGAAGAGAAAGACGATTCTTCCTCCACTGTTAGTACTCCAAAGGTTTTCACTGATGCTCCAATATCCTATGCTACTGAGGGGTCACCAAACAACTTCTCCACTACTAGTAGCTTAAGTGCATTGACATTTGAGGATGAGCCAAAGATCAGGAAAGATCCCGATTTAAGAAATAAAAGGTTTGATATTGAAGTAGCTCCAAGACAACCAGTGAATGTTCAGCCACAGCAGCGTCAGGTACAGCAACTGCAAACGCAGCAAAATCACCAAAGACAACTTCAGCAGCAACAGTATCAGCAGCAGCAAACTGCAAAAGAACAAGAGAGTTTGCAGAGACAACAGTCTCAAAATGAGGAAGAAAAAAGTGACAAAGTCCCAGAGAATCCTGCAAAACTTTTGGCAGACAATGTGCCAGATGGGAAAGAGGACGATGGGAACTCTTCTGTATCAGAAGGAGAGGAAGATTTACTTTTGCAATGTATTACGTCTGCTATGCCTAACAATTCCAAGAAAAAGATGAAGAAAAGCAGCTCTGATAATGCAATCAAGCACAATAAGGCAGTGCTCACCAAACGCAACAATATTCAGTTGCCAGTGAAGAGCAAAAACACCACTGCTCCTCCCAAGTCTAACAACCCTATGTCAGTTAGTGCAGAGGGTATTCCACCTGCTTCAGCAGTGAATGTTCCACGTTCTGGCACCGTGCCAATGATGGGTCACATGTCCTCAGACTACAGTCAGGACACGGTCCAGTGCTATGCCACAGAAGGAACTCCACTCAACTTCTCTAATGCAGGCTCCTTGAGCGACCTCAGTGTGATGTCTGAGATGATTACGAAGGAAAAGAAGAAAATCAAAGTACAGCAGAAACCAGGGGCTCAGACACAGAAGAATATAGAGCGTGTATCAAATGATGAACCTCTTCCACCTCCCCAAAACCCAGATGGACAAGAACAAGAGGCCCAGTCTGACACAAGCTCATTATGCGAAGATGGTAAATATCACAAAGATATGCCCAAGCTGGGTTCTCTCTATGTAGTAAAATGTTTATTGACTGGGAACTATTTAATATGACTTTAAAACACTACAAATGTTTCACTTTTCTTGCCCAGTTTGTAACAGGTTTTATAAAATATTGGCTGATGTCACACTAGAGGAAAAAAGTAACACTAACCATCGAAATAAAGGGGTAGTTTAAAAAGAGGGTTTTCCTGCTTATAATGAGCCTTTTCCATACAATGTTAGTTTGCTTGCTTACTTGAAACCAAACCATGCCGATTTATTCTTGCCCCCTGCTGCACAGTTCATTAACTTTGTTTCCTATACTTCTATGCTCATAAATCAGACCTGGTGCACAAGTGCTCTTTTAGAAAACCCCATCCTGAAATAAGCTTAAACAGCACATAACACTTTTGACAGACTTGTGCGGCACAAGTTGGGTTAATAGGCTCTGGTTGTGGTTCATTGAAATGGGAAATAACGTCTGAAAAAAGGCAGAGTAGCATTTATATAGTAATGCTGTTTGTGCTTGGGTCACAGAGATTTACATTCACTTTGCTGCATGCCCCTGCTGTCTAAGTATAATCCTCTGCAGTGCTAGTATTTTGTAGTCTGTTTTCTGTTTATAATAAGCCATGTGGGATCTGTTATGCTAAAAGGGCTTTTAAAGGGACTCACATTGATGCACATGAAAGTATGGTTTTTGCATTTCGGGATGATTTCATGATATTTTCACCTTTTATTCTTCCAGGTGAAGAGCTTCTTTCTAGCATGATCCAGGCTGCTATGCCAAAGAGCAATAAGCCATCAAAGAAAAGCAAAAATAGTAAGGAGGAGAGGGGTGTAGATGGTTCTGACAGCAAAAGTGGTAATGACCAAAAGCACACTACTTCCAAACTTCCAACAAGAAATGACAGATCCAGTAATGTAGCTCAGTACCCAACAAGTGTACCCAACCTAAATACAGGAAATATACTTCCATTTCAACCAATGAGGACATCTTCAGAAAACTCAGCTCACCATTTTAGTGCTGATCAAACAAAGATGTTCATGACTGAAGGGACACCATTGAATTTCTCCACGGCCACTTCTCTGAGTGACCTGACATATGATGATATGATGGATGAATCCAGGAAACCCTTGAATAGTGATTCATATAGGAGAGAGGATGTGACAGACCCAATGGTAAATAACAGAAATATACCCACTTTGATGGCAACAGGACACGAGGATGATGCAGTGTTTGCCCAGAGTGCCTCGTATGACTCACCCAGGCCTTTTGGAGTGGAAGGCACTCCACTTTCGTTTTCGAGGAATGACTCCCTGAGTTCTTTGAGTTGTGATGAAGATGTGGATTTAGCACATGATAAGTCACAGTTGAGGAATGAAAGAGTTTCCCATCTACAGAATCACTACAGATCCAGTAGGGGGATTCCTACTCCAAGAGGCAGGGGGATACCACAACCCAGGTCTGCATCGCACAGTCCTAGGAGGGGACCCATTGGAAATGCCCCAACCTCTGTGAACACCCAGTCACCTAGATCGTACTATAACAAACCTCCCATTCAGTCAAAGATTCCAGGTCAAATTGCTGGTCCCAATATTAACAAAGATTGGAGCAGAAACAGCAGCAGAAGATCTTCTCAAGGCGACCAGGTCATGACCTTCGCCGTGGAGGGAACTCCAATGTGTTTCTCCAGGAATTCTTCTCTCAGTTCCCTGTATAGTGATGACCAGGAAAGTAAGGTGGATGACCTCATTGATAAGTCTAATAAGGAACATGGTGCTGAAAAAAAAGTTGAGGATTTAGAGGAAAATGCCAAAGATATGGAGTCCTCATTCAAGGTGGAGGATACCCCAATGTGTTTTTCTCGTAACAGCTCCCTTAGCTCTCTCAGTGTGGAGTCCCTCACTGACCAGGCTCTGTTAGACCAGTGTATCAGCTCAGCCATGCCCACAAAGAAATCCAGCTCTAAGTCCAGTGATAATAAGTCCAGTGCTGCCAAGCCACAAAGGGCCAGTCCCAGTGGGTCCAGTGCTCCTAGTAGTAAGAAAGCATCACCTACTGATGGGAAAGCAAAGAAAATTGAAAGAAAGGAAGAAAAAAAGGAAAGTGATAAAGGCCCTAAAAAGGAGGTAGTGAATACAATTAGACATACTGACAATCGGGTTGAACAGGAACCGTCCCATTTCCCAGTTCTGGAAGGGGTTGGAGCTGTTGGTGGAGCACCCAGTGACTTGGGAGAAAACAGCAACAACAATAATAACAATAATGCCAGTAGAGCTAACACATGGCGCAAAGCACCTCACAAATCCAGCGATGAGATGAAGCCAAAAAAGTCCAGCTCCCAAAATGACATACAACCTCCACCACCATCAAGATTTGGTTGGAGGAGAACCCGCTCTCAGGACAGTGATGGATTTAGTAGCCAAAAGAAAGAAAAGGAGTACTCCAATATGGTGCAGTCGCTGACATCTGTAGATGAACTTACGATGAAATCTAGGGATTTGAGTCTCAATGAGTCATCTCTTAGCAGCTCGACCGTGTCTGGAGAAACAGTAGCCCTGAATGAAAACCGTCAGAACGATTTTTTAGACAATCGCGACCTTGAGGAAAATATGAGTAAAAGTCAGACTGATTTAGAAGAGAGGGAAAACAAATATAAATTTGTAGAGGACGAATGTGGGACTGTTTTCGAGGCAACAGGTGAGACTGTATGCCTGGACAACAGGCCTGTGGATAATAGGGAGATGGAAGAAAGGATGAGCAAGGCCTCAAGGTTGCAACCGCCATGTTATGTGAGACTTGAAAGCACCAGTAGCCAAGCATCGTGTGAAAGTGAAGAGAAACTGGACAGTACAAAATCTGGACACATGGGACTGGACACAGAGGAGATAGATCCAGACACTTATGAAATAGAGATCACAGAAGTAGACTCCGAAGAAATCAACTTGGACACCACAAGTGAGAGCAGATCAGAGATTTGCACAGAAGAAGATGCCTTTGAAGCCACCTTGGAAACAATGGATGATATTGAAATTATTGACATTGATGCCAGTCCTTATGATATTGACAAATATGATGAGCCAGGCACGTACCCTACTAGTTACCACAGAGAGGGACAGGCTGAGGATACTTTCAGTAATGATCTGATTGAAGAAGCTGAGAATGTCATCAATGGAAATGAAAACTACAATAGAATCAGTGGAGATTTTACGGACAGCAACTTATCTGGAGAAACTGTTAAAGAAGCTGAACAAACTCTACCTGCCAGCGAAATATCTCCAGAAGAGGAGAAAATTCTTGAAGAAAATGCCAACATAATTTTATCAGAACTCTCTTTTGTCAGGGACACTACCAGTAGCATGATGACCAGCAGCACAGTGGATGAAGATATGTTTATTGAAAATGAAACCATATCTTTGGTCTCCAATGATGTGGCCTCTGATACAGCCTCAGAAGTCTCAGCCAGTCTCTCGGGCTCTGAACACATGAGTGACCGCACCACCACAAACTCCCAATCTTCCTCCCAACAGGGTGCTGCAGCCATGCAAAGAAAACCTAGAATAGTTAAACCTGGTAGTAAGGAGTCTGTTTTAGCACAGAGAGAGAAAGAAAAGGAAGAAGAGGTGAAAGGGGTGAGAGGGAAAAGAAAGCCCTTGTATAGTAAGAGTGTAGTTGCATCTCCGAGGGTGTCGAGTACTACTGGTACTGGACAAGCAGGAAAGAAGGTTGCTCCACCTCCACCACCAAGGGTTATCACTGCTGGTAGAACGGCAACAACAGGTAAAACAGCAGACGCCATTGACAAGAAAGCTACAGCAAAATCCAATGTTTCCCCTACTCAAGGTGCAGCTGAAGTTGCAGCAGCACCAGCCTCTGAAAATAGGAGCAATTTAAGGATGCCAAGATCTATACCCAGTCCTTCTATTTCCTCTACCCAGAACAACACCTCCCAAGCTTCAGGAACACCACACAAACTAGAAACCAGATCCAGAAGTCTCCTTTTAGAACCAAAACCTGTACTAATCAAACAAGGCACATTCACCAAGGAAAACACAAAGATACCCAATGCTCCCAATATTGGTGATAGTAAAGCAAGAGGACGAGCAACTCCACCAGTAGATAAGCAGGCGAAAACAGCAGGTGCCACACCCAAAGGAAATAATAAGAAGACTACCAATGGGAGCCCACCACAGAGAGACAGTCCACCTGAACCTTGGTCGAAAGCACTTGGATCATTTAATTTTGTTGTAGACCACTCCATTGACCCTAAAGTTGACTCTCCTTACAAACAAACCCCAGTACAGAAAACTGGCAGCCAGTCTACAACAACAACAGCAGCTGCAAGGAGGGGAAGCAGTGGGTCTAACAGAAACAACAGCAACTCCAACCTCAATAAAGGCAGCAGTGGTAGCCTGGTTAAAACAGGGAGTGGTGCATCTTTGAATAAAAGCAATGGCTCTATTCACCGTACCAACAGTGGATCTCAAATAAGTCGACCCAGCTCTAGTAATTTGACAAAAGCAAACAGCAATTTAAAGAAATCAGATAGCAGTGCAAGTTTAAAGAAAGGTGGCGCTGCTGCCAGGTCTTCTACCCCAACTGGGAGGACCACACCCACAGGTCGTGTCACCCCCACTGGGCGCCGTACCCCACAGAACCCTGGGCCAAGCACACCAAGTAAAGGTACCCCTGGGAAGACCACACCAGGCACCCCAGGAAAAGGCACTTCCACACAATCTGGTAAAGGGGCTTTGGGTTCCACACAGGCCAGTAAGGGCACGCCTGGGAAAAAGCAAGCCACAAGTAAGATTTCCAGTCTTTGGAAAAAGGACAAAGATGGCAGCAGCAGCAACGATGTAAAGTCCAATGCACAAGGGGATGCCAATGTTAACACTCCACAAAAACCTGGTCAGGATAGAAAATCATCTTTGCCAGGTAGCTATTGTTTTGTTGACTCCAATTTTATTCCATATGTATCACTTATTTGGTGCACTTATAAATGTGCTCTTACATCATAACTATGACTGTTCTTTATTTGGTTTTGCAGTAGTTAAGAATTTGCAGTGATTATTGCCTGCCCTTGCTCTGAATTTTTTTTAATAAGTAGTGTTGTTGATAAAATGAAATTAAGTGTAGGATGTTATCTCACCGGATAGTAAATAAATGATATTAATTTTTTCATAGTATGTTACCGGAAATATATGATAACCTCTGTATTATAGGTAAAAGTGGTAGTGGACAGAAGCCATCAGGCAAACCACCAACTGGCAGGAAGAACTCTCCTAGTGGAAGTCAGAACAGCAGTCCCAGAGAGGGCCTTAGCAAGAGTTCAACCTATGATAAACTGTCAGACATTGCTTCTTCTGAACAAAAGGTGGAGCCACAAGCTCCTGCAAACCCCAAACCTTCTGGTGGAGGCTGGAGAAGGGAACCAGTAAGGTCAGAGGAAAGTTCTGCAGCAGCTGCACCAAAACCAGCTCAGACCGCAACCAGCAATGACAACACAACTAAAGCTGCTGCAGATGACATTTGGATTATGAGAGATGATGTTATCAAGAGTGACAGCCAAGATGTACAAAAGGCAATTGAAACAACTACTACAAATAAAAAGCAAACCACAGCTGTAAGCTCCAAGTTGACAGGGAGTACGCAGTCATTGAAGAGCACACAGTCATTGAAGCTGGCCTCAAAAAGTTCCCCATCAAGTGAGGGATTAAATAAAAACTTGTCCAGCAGCACTAGTCTCAGCCAGAAGTCTTCTAGTAACAGTTTGACCAATGCATCGTCTGGTTCTAGTAGCACTACCAGTCTTAGCCAGACCACCTCTTCCACTGGTAACACCCACCAACAAACTGGACCAAAACTGGACAAAGTTAAGAATGAAATCCCTCAGCGAGAGGCAACCCAAACGTCTTCTTGTCCACAAAGTCCATCAAGAATGGTCACTCCACTTAGCCCAAGCAAGCAGGCCAACCCAGGCGTGCAATCTGCCATAGTACCGCCTTTTAATTACAAGCCCAAAGGACAAAAAACTGATGTCAGTTCTTCCAACACAATTACATCAGATGTAAAGACCTCAGACGTTGTTGTCAAAAATGGAATTAACCAATCCCAAAGTAGCTCAAACTCACCAAGCATTACTCGACACATGACAAAGACTGAAATGTTATTAGCAAGAAGAAGGAATTTAAATGGTACAGTCAAGTCTTCCAGCGGTGAGGAAGACAACAGAGGGGGGTGTAAGGTCACAACTGTGTAAAAAAGAAAGAAAAAAAAGAAAGGAACATTAAATAAGTAAGAAAAAGGTCACAATGATATCAAGTTCTTGCTTTTGCCTGAAACTGATGAATATAGTGTCTTTATTGGTGGCCTACTTAGCTTATGTATAATTCTGATCTTATAACAGCTGACTGGTCAGTTGTGCATGTTAAATGATGTTTGGTATGTTTCTGTAATTCAGTTGAAAGATGTAGTCAAATATTTGGTATGTTCTCTACTGCTCCAAAATGTATGCTGTGCAGATAAAGAATATTGTGCCTTGATAATGTGTTCAGCATCTGATCATGTACAGTTATTCAAATTGTGAGATATTTGCATGAAAATTATGATTGGATAATGAAAATTGTTGACAACTTGATTTCTACAGAAAGTCTACAGTTTTAAAAGAAATGTTTAGGTAATGTCTATGGATATTGCAGTAAAGAAATACGTATTTACATGGTCACAATTTTTGTGTTGACAATTAATGTAATGTAATTTTGAAAACAATACTCTGTGAACTTAATTTGTAGCCTATAGATGTACCAAAGTGAGGGACGTGCAATGCTGTGAATGCTCTGGGTCTAACATACAGTGGACTTAAATGGTTCCATTTAGATTATTTGTGAACCAGCAACTAGTGATTTACCAGAAATCAATTTTGAGAGGGCTTCAGGATTGAATGATATTATTTTATAATCTGATAAGTTTTTTGCCTTTCTCTTGTAAAAAATTCAGTGATGGCATCTTTGTTGTTCTTCCTATTCTAGTAAATGTATCCAGAGATATTTAAAGAAGTTCTTGTTTACATGAAAATGAAAGAAGTGCTTCCATCATGTTTTCAGATGATTTTAAAGTAATTTTACAAAAATAAAGTACCACCAGAAAATACCAGCTTAGCAACCCTCATTTGTGAGTGTAATTATGACCAATTAATTAGAAACCACTAGGTAGCTGTAATATTGTGGAAATACTAAAAATACACAAAAGAATGATGCCATGCAATGTATATTTAATTCCTGCTTTTTCCCCCCTTTGAATTCACACAACTGTAATATTTGTATTTCTTTTGTTAACGAGTTGATTAAACTTGTGTAGCTGCAGGACAGAGAATAGCAAACACATCGATAAAAACGGAACTGCACATATTGTAAAACAATTATTTATTTATTATTTTTGTAAGATCTATTACCGTGTGTGTGTGTATATAAATAAGTACGAGCACTGAAAAGTGCTAAGACATACTTCAGTTTTCAGTGGCAATTGTGATGTCCGCCTTTCTGTGTTCATGTTTAGTATTCAAAAATAAAAAACAAGAAGGCAAACTTAAATCTGGTGTCCTTGTTTTTACCAAACGGCCCATTTTGTTTTGGTTATTATTTGCCCATGAAAGTCTGCCACTTATTTGCAGGCATTTGATGTAATTCACGTTGCTTGGAGCATTAAAGAAAGGTCTACTCTTTTGTTAAAGTTTGTCTTATTGTCCTCTCTTTACACTGGGTTCATTCACAGATATCTTTTCGTTAGAGGTGGCACTGTGTTCTAAATACAAAACTTATGATCCCAAAGTGAATCGAGAGAAAGTGGTTATGTCAAGTCTGTTTCTAACATGCATCTCTCCTGAAAAAGTTCTTCCTCTATTACTGAGCAGAATGTTATCTTTTGCCTTTTCCTTTTCCCTTCTTTCCTTTCTGTGCGCCAGTGTTTCCTTGTTGTTGACTGGTCTGCTGTTCTTTATTACCATGACTTTGTGCACGTCCTTTTAATTTTGGAATCATTTCTCCAAGATACAAGAAAACCGATTTTCCTAAAAGAATAAAAGTTATTGTTAATATGATATGGTATCTGTTAAAAAAACAAAGGTTTTGCCCTTGACCTGCAAAAATTATTAATATGCTAAATTTTCATTTTAAGCTTTTAAGTGAAAATCCAAATGTTTGTCAGAAAATAAATTTCAATGGTCGTTATTTTCATGCAAATGATGTTCAGATGATTTCCTCAACACTTAAATATGCTGTCTAACATCATTGAATGATACTTTTCTACCAGACTACCAGACAAATTTTGAATACTTACTAGTTGGAAATTTATCTAACATTGGAGTACCATCTTCTTTTTTCAACTGTATTCTGATTCTTCCTCTGAATCTCATGTCCCTAGGATCCCTTTCTCGTGGATATACTTTATTCTTAAAATATAAGCACAACATATTATAAATATTACAAACAAACTCAATTTTCATTGACTTTTCTACTAATAAATTTGCAAAGGTGTTTCACAATACTGTTAAAATAAACTTGCTGAGAGTAGGCCATTTCTGATGCATTCTAGGTTTTATGAAATGTAATTATTGACTAACTTTGTGTATAACTAAGATGTAGTTGTGATTGTGAAGCACTCCTACCTCTACTCCTACTGTCATTCCTGCAGATGCACATATATCACGGATTTCAGAATATGTTGGGTTATCCACAGCCTAAAAAGAAATGAAACAGAACTAATAAGAGGAGTGAATAGGAAAACAGTGTCACACTGAAAAACACATATTATAAATCAAGTCTGCAATTAAAATGAAAAAAATTGTAGAATTCTTAAAACTTTTAGAATATCGTATTGGCAGTCTGGTGGGAATCATCAAAGACACCTAAAACTTTTGAAACTTAAAGGGGATGGTCAAGATTTGGAGGATGGTTGGAAGTAAAGGCAGACTGTCTAGCAACCGCAGTGCTATAACAAATAAAAGCTGACAGAAGTTATCCACAGATATTTTCTGTTCATTTTTTCCTAAGAGCTGTTGCATTACAGTCAGTCTTTTGTACAACGGATCAAATTCACTAAGAACTTTGAATTCACTTTGAATGTCTCTTCTGTATTGCTTTCAAAGATAACATGCCCAGTGTTTCAACCTGTCACTGAAAAGTTAACCCATAACTCACATGGATTCTGACACATTTTTCAGTCTCATAAGGTGTCATACAGAGCTGAAAGCCTCGTTTTAAGCTATCTCTGATGTTTTTATTGGTGTGATCTATTCCTATTTTTTCATAATTTTTCCAGGGGCAATGCAAAATGGTTTTGACATATTTATACTTAAATGTTTCTCTTTAAGTATTGGGGAAAAGACTTACTTTATCCTTTGGAATTTTCCTTCCTTCTAACACACTTTTACGACTGTTGATATAGGCAGGGTACACACATATCCAACTGAAATGAGAGTATTGATTCATCAAGTCTAAAATCATTCAATAGAACTATGGTTTGAGACTGTGAGGAAGGATGTAACATGTGCATGTGTTTTAAAGGAACTTGAAACAACATGACTTAAAATCCATAAAACTCTGCAAAGTACCGGTATGCCATGACAAAAAATATAACAAAGACAGATTCCCAAGGCAACCAATCTTAGATGAGTACCACAGAAGATCTTAAAAAGAGTCTTTGATTTTCAGTGCTTTTCTAAACGCATTTATGTGGTAAATTAGATCAAGGTCTCCTGGTCTGGCATTCTCTGCTATTCAAATTAACTAATATGGCTATCTACTTATACGTCTCTCTCCTTATATTTAAATGTATTGGATATTTTTTTGTAAAATCATCTTAAAATCGTTACTAAACAATTGCCAAACTAATATTTTGTAGAGACATTGATCAAAGACTGAGCAGTTTTGGGGTATAAAGAACGAAATGCCCGATAATATCCGGGGGAAAGCAATTACAGTTACACGTCGGCACCATATTTACCCAAATAACTTCAATACCTGAAAATATTGTCTGAATAAAACTAGTAAAGATAATGCATGAAATATGTACAAAGCTTTCATAGTTTAAATATTGTAATAATTTTTAACAGTAACGTTGTATATACCGTTCTCGATCTGTGTGTTGAAAATCTGGATTCCACGGTCTGGCCATTTTGCTTTTATTTCTGAACACTAGGTGGCCTCTTTTAAGAATCAACACGTTCCCCATCCAATAACTATTTTAGAGAACACTTTCAGAGGATTGCGATTGTTGCTCATTTTTCATTTCATCTTTGTTATTCTTATTATTAGGCTAATTAATAGTTTGCTACATAAGTAGTATAACTATATAGAAAAGAAAAGTCAAATATGTATTATCTTGTGTTCCATTTTTGTAGCCAACTGTGACGTCACTTGTAAACAAACACACGTGGCTGGCAGCATCAAGGATGGCAGCGGATTGTTGATTGAAGCTCAAAATACGACTGATAATAATCATTTGTGAGGTAAGTCATGTTATTTTCTTAAATTATTTATGATCTGATATATGTGTGTGTGTGTGTGCGTGCGTGCGTGCGTGCGTGTGGTTGTAAATAAGCTAATAAATAAGGTATTGTGCGGTTGATACAATGCACTGTACATCTAATTATTTAAGAATATTTTACTGCCTGCCTTTTTGTTTGTAACTATGTAAATGATCATTAGATTAAAATCATCATTGGGTTGACTTGGAAAAAAACAAAAACAGTCAGATTTCTGGAAAGTATTCAAGATGTACATGTGCAATGAAAAGAAATATTATTTGAAAATTGTTGAGCTTTATCGTTGACATTGATTTATTTCTGCCATTTTATGAGAAAGAAAGTAAAANCATGGAGTGTGTCGATAATCTTTGATACAGGGAGGATCGGGCTGATGGTGGTGGAATGTGAAAACCGGATTCACCTTCCACCCGATGAATATCAGCAACGTTCAAGGTATGAATTGTCACTTGTTATAGGATGTGGACTTTTACATGCACATGTATGTGACACAGTCGAAGTTCAATTCACAACCACACACTGTTGACATTCAACTGCAAAATTATAGTAATAAAATCTAACTCTACAAAAATTGTTACAAATATCTAAACCGGAAGTGACGTACCATGTACCATCAAAGCTGAAATCAGTGAAATAGATCTGCTGTCCGTCCACTGCTATATCATAGTATTGGCCTCCAACAGTATCTCCAGCTTTGATCAATGATCGTCTGTTACTTCCATCTGTGTCGGAAGTTTCAATACTTGCATAAAATCCATCGCACCAATAAAGTTTCTGTTCTGTAAACAAAGATAATTATTGTGAATGAGGATGCCATTTTATTTAAAGATACATACAAAGTCAATTTTTTGTCACAAAAACCAACCAAATGCCAGCATATAGTTTCAAGTAGGATAACTAAGAGAATTACCAAAATGCATTGTTTAATTTTACCCGAAAATGATGTTTGAACAGATTTTTCTGCTGGCATTCTAAGCTGTATGTCAATGGGGCAGGAAAGTAGGTCACGGAAGTAGGTTAAATTTACAACCATAAATTTAAAGAAAGGAGCAGTCTAAAGGTATTTTACAGCTGATCGAGTGATCTATTCAGTTTATCCCTTGGCACGTCAAATTTATTTGAGTCATATAAGAATATAGTAGAAGTGGTTTACATGTGTTACTGGGAATCCACGCTCCACCAATGCTCGGTTCGTATGTACCTTTAAGAGTAAATCTGTTTTGTAAGTATATATTCTAGCTCAGGTACCATTTAAATGAATGAACTTAATGAAATGAATTTGAAAAATGTTGAATTCTGTGTTTTCCTACTGTATTATGATGCAAGTTACAATATGAATAAAAATAACTACTGAGTATTGTTACCTTTTTTTGTTAATTTACATTTAGAAAATTGATCTGTTACATTGTTATGTTACATTGTTACATTGTTATGTTACATTGAATGTCATATGTTTGAAAAATACATTGCTTCTGTGAAGGTCTGGACTAATAATAAAATGCTAACAATGTTGCTACTGTGAATGGTTGAATTCATGGTAAAATATTGAACTCTCAAACAACAGTCATGTTACAAATACTTCCTAATGAACCAAAATGAAGCACAAGAATGCTGAAATAATTTCTGACAGCTTCATAATGTACAGTTAAATCATATCTGACAGCAATACTTCTTGTCACAACCCTGCATACTGTCTTCTTTGAGTCCGTAAGGGTTGATCCCGATGGTCAGCTCAAATTTCTCCTTATATCTATCCTTTATGTAAAAAGTTGCTTCTATGAAAGGTTGAACTTATGATTACACAGTAAACTCTCTAAAACTATAACTGTTATTACCCAATGAACAAGAAAAATGAAGTACAAGATAACTGAACTAGGTTCTGACAAATCCACGATGTTGGGATACAGGGGTAGGTCACGTCTCACGGATTTCATGTCTTTGGACTGTCTTGAGTTTATATGGGTTGATCACGCTGATCAGCTGAAGTTTTCACATGTATATACTCTTTTTCTTTTGGTGTACTTGATCACGATATGAAGATTATTTCATTTTATTTGGTTCATCTATATTTACGCTACTATTCCCCGTCGTTCTTTCCCTCCAGAATGGCCGCTGGACGAGTGTTACGGAGCAAATATGACGTCACTGTAATGGGTTAATACGTCTCTCTCCTTATATTTAAATGTATTGGATATTTTTTGTAAAATCATCTTAAAATCGTTACTAAACAATTGCCAAACTAATATTTTGTAGAGACATTGATCAAAGACTCAGCAGTTTTGGGGTATAATGAACGAAATGCCCGATGATATCCGGGGGAAAGCAATTACAGTTACACGTCGGCACCATATTTACCTAAATAACTTCAATACCTGAAAGTATTGTCTGAATAAAACTGGTAAAGATAATGCATGAAATATGTACAAAGCTTTCATAGTTTAAATATTGTAATAAATTTTAACAGTAACGTTGTATATACCGTTCTCGATCTGTGTGTTGAAAATCTGGATTCCACGGTCTGGCCATTTTGCTTTTATTTCTGAACACTAGGTGGCCTCTTTTAAGAATCAACACGTTCCCTATCCAATAACTATTTTAGAGAACACTTTCAGAGGATTGCGATTGTTGCTCATTTTTCATTTCATCTTTGTTATTCTTATTATTAGGCTCATTAATAGTTTGCTACATAAGTAGTATAACTATATAGAAAAGAAAAGTCAAATATGTATTATCTTGTGTTCCATTTTTGTAGCCAACTGTGACGTCACTTGTAAACAAACACACGTGGCTGGCAGCATCAAGGATGGCAGCGGATTGTTGATTGAAGCTCAAAATACGACTGATAATAATTATTTGTGAGGTAAGTCATGTTATTTTCTTAAATTATTTATGATCTGATATATGTGGGTGTGTGTGTGTGTGCGTGCGTGCGTGCGTGTGGTTGTAAATAAGCTAATAAATAAGGTATTGCGCGGTTGATACAATGCACTGTACATCTAATTATTTGAGAATATTTTACTGCCTGCCTTTTTGTTTGTAACTATGTAAATGATCATTAGATTAAAATCATCATTGGGTTGACTGGGAAAAAAACAAAAACAGTCAGATTTCTGGAAAGTATTCAAGATGTACATGTGCAATGAAAAGAAATATTATTTGAAAATTGTTGAGCTTTATCGTTGACATTGATTTATTTCTGCCATTTTATGAGAAAGAAAGTAAAATGCTGTTGGTATAATTCTGACATGTGAAAATAACTTGGACCTTCATTTGCGACATCAACAATTCATGTTTTATAACAACTCCATATCCATTTAGTGAATATTTACTGTAGTTCCAGATAAACACAGCAGATATTCAATATGTCCACATCATCCTCATCATCGAATGGTTACCTGTTTGGCAGTGCCAGCCCCAGCTACAGTTTCACATCAGGTTACACCAGTAATTCTGACACCGACTCAGATTTAGAGGAAGTTCAAGTAAAGCAGTATTTGTTTGGAGATATAAGGCTTGACCTGATCCAGTACATTGCCTTGAAGAAATCTAAGAAGGGCATCAAAAGACATTATGGACATTATCAGGTATTATATCATATTGTTGCCAATTTTTGAAAGAAGAAGCAATGAAGTATTTTTTTCAACTTTGTAAATATTTAGTATTATTTTTTACCCCCAAGTTGTGAGCTAAAGTTTATCTGTTTGGGTTTTTCAAAACTGTAGGTGATGGGAGAGGAAGAGGGGCGTAACTGACTTAACACTTAAGAATTGCATAATGAATAATCTGTAGAGCAAAAGAGGCCAAATTATTATAATACTAGTACTTCATTATGCTAAGATATGTTAGACATTAACAATGTACCAGTAAGTATCAGGATTCGATTGTTTTGTTTTATATAGTTGGATGATCACTGCCATGCCAAAATTGATGATGTTCCTTCCCATTACTACAAAGGAAAACATTGGGATGTTCCAATAGGAAATGACCTTAGCAAGACAAACATTAAGGCAACTGCAATGGCTATCCAGAGGTAAGTTATAAGGTATAATTCAGTTAAGATTTTGTTAGTATTTTTTCAATACATACCATATACACCCACTGATAAGTTTGTAGATACACCTACTACAATTCTGAAAGTCAAATTCGATGAGAAGCTTTTGTGGTCATAATTTTCTCATTAAAATATCAAGAGGCATATTTTGATTCACATCTTTAAGAAGTGCAAGGTAAAGTTAATTTTTCTTCCTGTTTAAAATTATGGTCCTTTTGTCTACATAAAATGATCTAACTCTGAGTTTCTTCCCCAATCATTTAATTTTATCTTATTTTCTAAATGTGAAAAAACATCTATTATTGTTCCATCGCACCATTTTAGGGAAATAGAAAAGGAACAGCAGCGTAGAATTTATGAGGAAGAACAAACATACAGATTATGTCAGAATTCCTTCTTTTACATTAACCAAGAATTCTTTGATGCCATTGACTCAGCCAAGGTATGGTTCTAATTATTGTATTGAATTACACTTCAAATTTTGTGAAATCTTATTCTCTGAGAGATTTTGGATATTTTTCATTGGTCACTTGGAATGTTTTGTGGAACTAAAAAAAGTGGAGTACTGTAAGTGCAGTGTTGAAGCAATAGACACATGCTCCATGAAACATAAAAATATGTATGTAGCTAAATTTGGAAACCTCTTTTATTTTTAAGTAGTGTGTACAGTAGTAAATGCTTTTTCATTTTTTCAACTTAAGCAAATATTTCATATTGGTCTTTCTGAGAAGCTTTTCCATAAGCTGTTAAATTTTTATTGTCCTTCTGTCTTTGACTGGAGTAATTAGTGAAGAACAAGGATTGCTATTAGCAGTTGAAGCCGCTAAATATATAAATGACAAAAATGAATTCAGAAAAAGCTCACAACTATTGTTTTGAGAATTAAGTATATAACTGAGCTTTGCAGGAATAAGATATAATATGAATAACCCTAGTGGGGTTGAAAGAGCATCAGCAGTTTTTATATGGATTTATATTAATTCCAGTCAAATACCCTGAAGAGAAAAAGAACAACATTTAAGAATGCCCAGGTGGTGAAAGACCACATGCAGGGTATTCTCATCCAAAAGATCCACAAGAGAGATTTAGATCGTGAGATGGAAGAGGAAAGACAGCGGCAAATAAAAATAATGGAAAATTTAAGCGGGGGTTATGATCTAGAGCAGGTAAAGGGAAATTTTGGCCAGTGAACCATCTAAGTTCATGTCTATTGAATGAAAAGCATTTTTATTCTATTTTCATGTTTCCACAAAATATCTCTATTTAGATTCCTTAACATACCATATTTTTAAAATAAAATCACCATGATGATTTGAGGTCATTTAATTTTCCTAATTGCTCTTCATTATATTGTTACTTATTGTTTTATGGAGTTATTTGATAAATGAGTATGTTTATCTATTAGTCCCCAAGCACAGAGAACCTACTGAAGTACATATCTGTCACCAACCAGAGGAAGCATATTATGCAAGAAGACCTGTTAGATGCCATGGAATTGATGGAGGTACATGTACACTTTACCTTCACACTCGCATATTTGATAAATACTGAAATTAGAATGGTGTGTTACAGGATGTGAAAGGGGCAATGCATTAGATTTCATTTCTTTTTTGCCAACTTAATATCAACCTGGATAGCAAAATGCATTAAGGAGAACCACTTTATTTCAGCCCTCTCTCTCTATATATATATATACTAGTATTTATATATATATGCACTGTATATAACTCCTTGGTTCTCTTAAACAAAAGAATGTTTGAGCCAATTGAATAAAAGAAAATATATTGTGCTGGTAAAATATTGTGATGAGGATGACACCAGTGGTTATGAGCTATCTGTTACAAGTGAAGTTCTTTATTATATAGGAGGATGAGGAGGACCTGGATGGAGAGTTGATACACTATGCTGAGGAGATGAAGGACAGGGCTTTGCGAGAAATGAAGAACGGGTTATACAGGATTCAGTTTGATGTTCTGGTAAGATTTATGATAAAGAAAAATGTAAGTTGCCTGATTATAATGTAAATTTAAAAACTATTGCATTTATGAAATTATTCATTTTTATTATATTGCACCAGGAACAGCAACTACAGTATTTGTTGTATGTGAAATGATAAGAAAACACAAACAGAATTTGTTAAAAAAATTTAATGTAAAATTACTATTACTTCAGACAAGAGTAGAACAGTTTCGCCGGGCTAATGAATTTAAAGTTCTGGCCAAGGAATCCCTTACACAGAAATGCATGAAGGCTTGGGATGAACTGCAGTCAGAAATGAACAGACATTTTGCATTGGTATTGGTAAGTTTACCAGTTAAGCACTCTTTAGCATGAGAAATATTATTTGCATGAAGAAAATAGAAAAATAATTAAAAAATAATTGATGTTCATTATAAAATATGCCCACCTACATTATGTTACAGTACTTATTTGTTTATTTATTTTGTATTCAATTTTTTTAGCAACAAGTCACAGAGGCTGAATACATTTCTGTGGATTTATCTGAGGTCAGAAAGAGACTGTTTCTGGAACAGCTTAGCAGAAGGTAACATGAACTTACGTTTATTGTGTGTTCAGGAAATTTAATGATTGTTACAGCTATTGAATCTTTTTCTCTTCTTTTATTGTATTAATAATTAATCAAAATGAAAATCACAAGATTAATTTCATTTCAGAGCTGCCATCAAGTTTGTTGACAAAGAATGTGCTGAGGAGCGTAAGCGAAGGATTCAAGAACTTGAGGAGGAAGCAGAACATCCAGACCCGGCCAAGGAAATACTCAAAGAGACCATGGCCAATGTACAAATACAGCTGGTTGTGGACAAATTTCATGGATACAAGGTTAGAGTAGAGACCTCCATTGCAATACCTCATCAACCTTTAGTAATTTAAGGATTGTTTCACGTACTGTAAAACAATTTTGCATGTTATTCCCATGTTACAGTTAATGTATTGCTATCAGATCTTTTAGTTAACCAACTTAGCTGCTTCATATTGTAATATTCCATGGTTGAACAGAATGACTGGTGTTCATGTTACCTGAAAGAAAGCATTTTTTAGAATATTAATGTGAATAAGTCACACATTTCATTGGAATTAGAGAAGATAATAGTTTTGTACCATTTTATTGGTCTTACCAATATAGGTGACACCCATATACCAAGAAATGGTGTTTGAAACTTCAAATGAAGATCGCAAGAAGAGAAAATTGAGATTAAGTGCACGGAGGAGGTCTAATGTAACTTTGTAAGTTTCCATTCTGTTTTATTTATTGTTATAAATACATATATTATTCAACTGTAATAATAGGGTTGGTTGTCTTTAAATGTTAAAATGTTAGCTTGATATACACTATTTTGACTTTCCTTTTCTTGCTCCAGAATCTATTTATTCATTAATATCAATAATTATTATAATTAATATTTTTCATTTTTATTTCTAGGGGTGAAGGCTTCTGAAAATAATTTGCAGCAAATGTAGAACCAGACTATGGGAATCAAGATATCAAAATCTCTATTACTTTAACTATCATCAGTTTATTGACCTACATGTACATCATTTCTCTCAACAAAAAACGATTTAGTGCAATATGTCAAATATTTCATAAAGACTGCATAATGACTGGCATTTATACAGTGTAGTAAGCAATACAGAAGCTAAGAAAAAGACTTCTTACAATAGTGCTAAAACAGTTTACCTCAATGCAATTTGAAAGATATCACTCTTGCCAAATATGTTACATGTATGATGATTAGTGTAATATACCAATATGTAATGACAACGTCTGTTATGTTTATTGTTATATTTTTTCTCAGTATTACCTCACTCAAACTTGGGTGTGCAGCAAATGACATCCACTGTGAGGCATGTATTCAATTCATAATGCTAACACTTGAAGTCTCAGCCATTAAAAAAACAACATATTGCAGTGCCTGCATGAAGAACTCCTTGTCGTTTGGAGTTTATTAGAAGAGCACAGCTGCCATTTGGTTCTAAAAGAATTTCAGATAAACGCGTAGCAAAACGTAGCGTAACGTAGCAAAACAAACACCTGTCGTCAAATCCTCGGCGCTTTCGTGTTTGAAGAGTGAAACAGTCACTTTTGTTTTGATGTAACTCTTCAGCTTCTGAAGTCTTAAAACGGGCTGCAGTAGTGGTGCTTGAATGCGTGAAAGCAGAATGCTGTGGAAGGTAACTGTGTCTTGACAATTTGAATAGAGATATAGCAAGAGAAAATGTTAACAGAGTAATTTACAAGGATGTAAACTGAAGATGAAAATCGAGGGATTATTATCATTTTCTACTCTTGTTCAAATGCACTCGTACATGCTGGCTGTACTAGTACTAAGCCTAGGGGGAACCATGACCTCTTCGCAACTTATGCAAGAGAACCATAGCCGTACCAGTTCAGTAGGTGAGTACATATAAAAGCGATGATTGAAGTATCAAAAATGCTATCTGACCTGCTGTTAAATCATCATTGAGAAGAATGATAGGTTGACTTAGGTGATAATACTAGTCTACAGCGAATTTCTCTCGTTGTCATTTGTCACCCTTTTTTTAATGTTAATAAATAATTCAGACACGTAGTCTTTAATGTGTCCTTTCATTTTTTGAAGCAGACAAATGTTTCATTGTTCAGTGTTCTCCAATTAAAATTAGCATAGATCTACATTTATATTAGCTGCATGGGGTTATAAAATTACTAGTATTGGTATCAGGATGATTGTAATACAAATAGATACTTATCACAAATACATGTGCCCCGGCCGGTAGTAGTGCAAAAGCCAGGATATTCAAAATTATTTGCATAGTATTAATAAATGAGAAACTTTGCCTGATAATTTTTAATAATAAATGGTGTGTGTTAAGAGTGATCCGTGATAATGGTGCAGTGCATGATAAATACCCGGTAGGTGATCAGAACATGACCAGTGTATTTGGTAATCAGTTGAAGGAGTGCTACTGTGACTGTGCAATTGACAATATTTCATCAGTTAACATGAAGATAACATATCACGTCTCTTACTGTGATGTCTGGAGTTATATTCCCTGCCCATTTGTGACACATTAACCTTATAATATTTCACAGAAGACCATGTAGTAGTTATGATTAAAAAGCAAACCACTGTTGTAACAACCACTGCCATATATATAAAGTTAAAAGCCCTAGTGATTGCACACCGGGGTTGTAATGGACAATTTTTTTTATCATAGATGGCATAGATACATGTAGCACCATACTTAATCAGACAGACACAGTAGGACTTCAAATGTATTTGTATTGGATTTTGGGTCTAAGTTGCAAGTGACAGTCTCTTTTGAAATAGGAAAAACATTTTTTCTCAGACTAAAAAATTAATGAATATACAGTACACATATACCATTCCCCCTCACACACATATTTTAAAATGTAGTTAATCAAGTGTGCATTATGAATATCAGAAACATACATTATGAAGAACCAGTAGCACTGAATATTATTTTCTTTTCAGATTATGAACTCCATCTCAGTTGCACCCAGATAGGAGTTCTTGATTCAACCCTAATATTTTATGTTGATCTGGTGAATCTTCATCACAGCCCAGATAAAGAACCAACCTATTTTCAATATATATGGACTGATGGAGCAGACAAAACTGTCCACCCAATACAGAGAAGAAAAAGATTTTCTTTTTATAGAGATTATTTTGGGAATCCTGATGTTATACCGGGAACATATAATATGACTGTACAGGTTTACAAGCCTCGGAAAGTTGGTACTAATGATACCCTTATTGCTCAAAACTATACATCATTTACTATTACAGGTAAGTTCTTTACAGGATGAAATGTAAGTTTATAAATTTGCCTGTTTTTGTTTTTTTTTTCAAACAGATAGTAGTTATTATTATTATTTGTAAAGCAATCTATTGACATCGTTTTAGTTTGATTTGTCTGTTGTCATTTAATAAATGGTCCTTTGCAAAATTACAATAGTATTTAAGAAGAATTTTTATAATCATCAAGATCATCAAGAACCGTTATATGTTTGTGTTATATATGATTCCATTCATATATAATGTAAAGGGTTGATTTTGGTATGTCTGCCACTGAAAACAAGTTCATTGTCATTTAATTAATATAAGACATCAAAGCTGTACAAATTCCAAGAGCTTATCTCGAACTATTACCACTTCTTGCATAGCCCTGGTTGTTGAAATTAGAAACAGAGCCACAACAATGCAAAACTCTTACACTGTGTTCAGCATTGTGTGTAGCCTAGATAACATTAAAATAATAGGTTGCCCTGTACTTTAGATTTTATCAATGCATAGTTCTAGATAACCTGATTGGAATTAACCCACACATATAGTAATCCAGATGTTGCCCTTAGTTATTTAGGTTATTAGTCATTATGATTTTACAGATGCAACTCACTTATTTTATTTTTGATTGATATCGCATTCCATTACAATCCTTTGTTGATGTTTACATTCATATATGTAAATTCTTTTTTAATTTCAGAATTCCTCAATGTCAATGTATTAATTTCTCAGAAGGTTAAATCTAAACTGAATAATGGAACAACTTTTGCCACAGGGACAAACGTAACATTTTATGCCAAGGCATTGGACAATTTTACTAATCCGGAAATACTGAACATGTCTTATTTCTACCACTGGAATCCTGAGGTTAGCATATACAAAGATGAAGACAATGAAAAAAACAATAATTTCACATACATATTTACAAGTTCAGGAAAGCAGCTCATGACTCTGAATACAACTGTTGTGATGATGTTGAATGACACAAACAGTACACAAATGGTGAAGACAAAGTTGACAAATAAGTCCCTTGTATTAAAAGGTAATTTTTCCTGCTGCTTACAAATTTTAGATAGCTGAAGTTTATTTTTAATGCAGTACAGGGCTTTTCCCAGGATTGGGGGTACAGGTCATCCAAAATTACCACCTGTTATTTCCTACAAAAGTATGCCCAAAGCCATCATATTTTTAAAAAATCCTTAAGCCGTCCAGCCGTCTTTGAAAATATAGACCATCCTGTGGTGCTGGCAGTTGTCCAAATGACCGCTGGACGGTTTGATGAGAAAACTGCAATATCATCTTTCTAGGGTTATTTCTTTTTGACAATATGTTAATATATATCAGTTTGAGTAAAAAATGGCCAAATGTGCTTAAAGATTACTATTGGAATAAAGCTGAATTTTGACATACTTTGCTCTTAGTGTGTAGCATTTTTAAGAAGAATGCAAAGGAAGATTATTCTGTATCCTGCCTGTTGATTCAATTTTCAGACAAAATATAGAATAAATGAGAAGAATTTGATAAAATAACCACCTATATTTGCAGATGCTGTTGGAAACCTGGATTTGAAGTTAGACACTATTCTCTTGACAGAACAGAAGCTTTCTGGAAAGATAACGTGTACTGGAAGGTGAGACTAGTGTTGTTTTAACATTTGCCTCTATAGAAAGACCTGTTCCTTTCACCCTCAACAAGTATGTGGTACACTTAAAACACTAGACACCTTCATTAGCTCTGTTTTAAGACTTATTAAAAGACACATTCTTACTACTTATTTAGTAGTAACTAGCTGTTTATTTGTGTTGTTTTAATTACTTTTAAAAATATGTGCTTCCTTGTCAATTTTTGATGCTTAATATCACCATAGTAAAACATGAATGTGACAATATTTTGTCTTTTCCCTATATTTTCAGTGTTCCACTGAATATAACTATCTGTGCACACAAAGGAGATGATAATAACACTTGCTACCAAGCATCAAATTTGGACACGTGTACACTTGATGTTTCTCTGCTGAATATTGTTTTTCACCAAGGAGGCAAATATATGATGAATTTCACTGTATCAAATGAAGTTAGTGTGACGAGTGGTAATTATACACTTCAAGTGGATGCCCCTGGTATGTATACATTTTACTTGATTAAATGTAGAATGATGAAATATGTTATTTGTGCCTTTCATGCACCATTTTTCACAGGACTATAAAATTACAGTGTATTTAATCACATATTTAGGTAGTCTTGCGCAGTTCATTTGGATGAGAATTATTTTTATAATCATTTCATTTTGAGATATTCTCACCAGATGACAGCCTGAATTGATATTTGTGATATTTTCCTTCCAGACTATAAGCCCGTCAACCAGTTTGTTCCTATATTATTTGCACTAATGGTGATTTTCATCATCGCAGCAGCCATAGGATACACAGTGTATTCTAGGCGAAAACTGATGGTGCCCATTGATCCTGAGGTGGCCAGCTTTGAGTTTCAAAGTGTTGAGGAAGACAAGCCATCTCTTTTTCAGAGGTTCAAAAGTACAGATTTTGGAAAGTTTTTATTTGGTAGTTACAGAGCAGGAGAAAAACTGGGCCAGGCAAATTATGCTTCTTTTACTTTACGTTATGGTTCATTGAAAGATGAATATGCCTAATTTTTTTTCCTTTGGGAGGGGGGATTGCCTTTTGAAATTTTTGTTTCCAAATGAAATCCGAATAGATTGTTACCTGCATAAAATACTCAAATAACAGACCTTTGATCACGAGAATGAAGACCAACCGATGCTTATTTTTGTATGTCAGATTGTTTGCCTCTCTGGTTTTGTTTGACAGACATACAAAGAATAAACCAGTTCACACCAGAGGATTAAGTTAAACTGAATTTGTTTAACTCGACAATTGAGACTGCAGAGTTGAATATCAGCCCAGTTTTGTAGAATGATGTATTAAAAAAACAGTTGCTTTTTACTTCAAAATGTGTATATGTTTTGCACATTGTATAACTTTTATCCACTATATTCTAGATCTCAGTTCTACAGAAATGTCAGTAAATTACAATCAGCTGTATGACATATTTTAATTAGGATATGATGGGACACTCCATCTCCCATTACAAATTTTTCAGATCAAAAGATTTGTCAGTTTTATATTATATCTTTATTAGTCAAAAATTATGCTTTTATAAGGAAATTTTTAAGAATTTAACTTTTCCAAGAAGTTTAGAGTCAGTGATAATATTTAATTGTAGAGTAATGAGTTCAACAAAATTATTTTTGTTTCCTGAATTTGGTGTATTTTTTACTTCTTAATACTATTTATCCCAAGAGAATGGAGAAAGAACCACTTATGAATATTTTATCATTATTGATATCAGTGTTTAAAGTTAAACACACAGCGTTTTATTTGTCTATTTTTTTTCTGACAGTTTTTTTTTTTTTTTCGCCTAGTATTTTCTGAAATTATTTTTGATTCTCTAGCACAACTTTTATTCTATGGAATTTTTAATTTTGTTCCTAGTGCAATTGTGATGTGTTATAGAAATGACAAACTTACCAGTAGATATGTTTTACTTTCTATGTAAAAACAAAAGCATATATTAGTTGAAGAGTGCATTTTTATTAGGGTTGGACTTCCAAACATTTCGACAGTATCAAAGTGGTGATAGGTAACATGCTGACTGTGATACATGAACTGGAACATAGCTGGTAGAGACATCTTTTCTTTTATTTAGATTTCATTTTAATGCAACAATTTTACTTGTGAAGTAATGTCTGGATCCAATCTGTTCTGGTTGAGTAAAACTGTATATAAATATTGGCAATAACGATGGTTTACAACATTGGGAAAGTGCCAAGGAGAAAAGGATTTTATTGTTACTTTATCAGAAAATAAATTTATTTTGAAAAATGTCGACTTTTGCACAATACAAAATATTTATACAGTTTTTAGTTTTGAAGTTTGCATCCTTGATGTTCTGAGGAGCGGGGGGGGGGCAATGATATATTTATTGCAGTTTGAACAAGAAAAGAAACCACATATTTCATGTATTTAGGGGTTGGCATTACATCCCATCATATGCTGATGATGTGGGGTCATGTCGATACTTCCCTGCACCGATACTCTTCCCCGCAGTGTTACTCCCCTGCACCGATACTCCCCCACGCTGTTACTCCCCCACACCAATAGATCCCCACACCGATAATCCCCCTCAGTATATCTGTAATTGTGGGGGAGTATCGGTGCGGGGATGTATCAACAAGTAACCGATCATGTCAGTGTTGAAGGCACGTGATGTAAACAGGCAGCTTGATGTCAATACAGCAATGATAATGTTGCCATCAACACAATATCCAAGAACACTATTACAGAAAAATGACCACTAGGAAAAATTGCTAGAATAACGTATCATTTAGCAAACACAGCATCTTATATTTATCAGGGCCGCAGCCTGAGCAAAATGCCAGGAGGGGCAGTAAGTGGACACGAGGGGGTGTGGAAAATTTTTAAAAACTGTATGTATAATGTGGCATCTGGTGCATTTTAACTGTTATTTTTTGCTCAATCAGAAGTCAGAAATTGTGGGTTCATTTTGCCATAAGTACAGTCATTTTTTTTCAAAACAGCCCTCCCAGCTTTGTTGGGCAAACAGTCAGGGTAAACAATAGCCTGATAACAGCCTGGGGGAAAGCTCCCTAAGGGAGGGTGAGCTTTTTGGCATGAACTGAGTTGGCTAAAAACAGTACACCTTTGTAAACAGATTGTTGAATGATTGTCTTGTGGCAATGAGTGCATTTTCTCACAGATACCAACTTTGCAATTATTTTTCTTTTACCTTTGCGATTATTGTTATAATTTTTTTTTTATTGCACCTCAACTGCCCCCCCTGCCCCCCGGAGGCTACGGCCCTGTTTATTGCACTATACTTCAGGACCTACGTTGATAATTCTCTGCTACTTTTTGGCTAACATCCATCTACTATCCACCTACTAGGTATATCAGAAAAATTTTCAAACTGATCAGAAAATTATAATACTTATATCATCTGAAAGGTAATGCAAAAACCGGATGAAATCACTTGGAATTTTTTTAATATTCCTACAAGCAACAAAGATATTGAAGTTTTTTAACTGCAAAAATGCACCAAAAGTGTCCACACTTTTCAGCTTAAAACCTGTCACTACTGACCAGCGGTGATCACTCAGCGGTAGCTGCAGCTCAAATTGCTTGTGACCAATTAGGGCAATTATGGCTGTATGTTAATCTAATGACCCGGAAACAAACCCAAATTGGCGACCGCACAAGCACATGGCTGGGATGGCATCCGTGCAGATCAAGCACTATAAATATTGCGCATCAAATAAACTATACTTCGCATGGTTTAATTTTCATGATTTTTTTACATAATATTGCAAATTTCATAAACTTTATTCGATATAAATTTTAAAAAACTGAAACCAGTACTTCCCTGACATTTTTGAGCATTTTGTTGNTAATGCAAATGATGTTCAGATGATTTCCTCAACACTTAAATATGCTGTCTAACATCATTGATTGATACTTTTCTACCAGACTACCAGACAAATTTTGAATACTTACTAGTTGGAAATTTATCTAACATTGGAGTACCATCTTCTTTTTTCAACTGTATTCTGATTCTTCCTCTGAATCTCATGTCCCTAGGATCCCTTTCTCGTGGATATACTTTATTCTTAAAATATAAGCACAACATATTATAAATATTACAAACAAACTCAATTTTCATTGACTTTTCTACTAATAAATTTGCAAAGGTGTTTCACAATACTGTTAAAATAAACTTGCTGATAATAGGCCATTTCTGATGCATTCTAGGTTTTATGAAATGTAATTATTGACTAACTTTGTGTATAACTAAGATGTAGTTGTGATTGTGAAGCACTTCTACCTCTACTCCTACTGTCATTCCTGCAGATGCACATATATCACGGATTTCAGAATATGTTGGGTTATCCACAGCCTAAAAAGAAATGAAACAGAACTAATGAGAGGAGTGAATAGGAAAACAGTGTCGCACTGAAAAACACATATTATAAATCAAGTCTGCAATTAAAATGAAAAAAATTGTAGAATTCTTACAACTTTTAGAATATCGTATTGGCAGTCTGGTGGGAATCATCAAAGACACCTAAAACTTTTGAAACTTAAAGGGGATGGTCAAGATTTGGAGGATGGTTGGAAGTAAAGGCAGACTGTCTAGCAACTGCAGTGCTATAACAAATAAAAGCTGACAGAAGTTATCCACAGACATTTCTGTTCATTTTTTCCTAAGAGCTGTTGCATTACAGTCAGTCTTTTGTACAACAGAACAAATTCACTAAGTTTTTGAATGTCTCTTCTGTATTGCTTTCAAAGACAACATGCCCAGTGTTTTAACCTGTCAATGAAAAGTTAACCATAACTCACATGGATTCTGACACATTTTCAGTCTCATAAGCTGAAAGCCTCGTTTTAAGCTATCTCTGATGCTTTTATTGGTGTGATCTATTCCTATTTTTCCACGGGCAATGCAAAATGGTTTTGACATATTTACACTTAAATGTTTCTCTTTAAGTATTGGGGAAAAGACTTACTTTATCCTTTGGAATTTTCCTTCCTTCTAACACACTTTTACGACTGTTGATATAGGCAGGGTACACACATATCCAACTGAAATGAGAGTATTGATTCATCAAGTCTAAAATCATTCAATAGAACTATGGTTTGAGACTGTGAGAAAGGATATAACATGCGTATGTGTTTTAAAGGAACTTGAAATAACATGAATTAAAATCCATAAAACTCTGCAAAGTACCCGTGTGTCGTGTACCGCCCGGAGCGTGAACCATCCGTTCTGCTCATGGGCACAAAGCGCAGGCAAATCTGAGAGACTTCCGTCGTGTACAGTCCGTCTCTATAGAGTCGTCAATACATTCTTAGCCTTTAATAAACATGTGCTGTTGAGAACACACTGAAAATTCAAACATAATCTGTAGAAGTATTCATATCTTATAGATGTTCACCTCTACTGCTATTTCTCTCAGGTGGCCATATCAACACACTAGCCTAGTAAAATCAATACTAAAATAGTAGCCAGCTGCTGAATAACGACGGCCCGTCCACGGTAGGTTCAACCATGCGTCGAACTGTAATTTGACGCTGATTCTCTATCAAAATTATCAATTAACACATGAATTTTATCCCCATCATAGTTAATGTATAATGAGGTAGGAAATGAACTAGCCAAATATAACAGTACAGGTGAATAACAACAGATCATTCATGGAACGGCTCATACACGCTGCTGCTGCGTGTACAATCAGTCAGGACGGATGGTTCACGCAGAACGGACCGTACACGTGACACCGGTATGCCACGACAAAAAATATAACAAAGACAGATTCCCAAGGCAACCAATCTTAGATGAGTACCACAGAAGATCTTAAAAAGAGTCTTTGATTTTCAGTGCTTTTCTAAACGCATTTATGTGGTAAATTTGATCAAGGTCTGACATTGTCTGCTATTCAAATTAACTAATATAGCTATCTACTTATTAACCCATTGTAGCCCTCGTCATCAAAACAAACGGCAGCCATACTGGAGGGAGACCGGAATCGTCTGCTGCGCATGATCATGTCTACATGTACAATTTAGCATTTAATTTCTGTTTTCTTTGATATTAAACCGAGTAAAATGATGAATTACTGCAGGGTATATGATAGAGAGAAGATAAATAACTTTACAAGCGTTCACAGACTGCCTGCAGTGGTAACAATCCAAGGTGTAGGGACGAAAACCGTAAACGGAGGAGAGACTGAGGAGTGGCTTTGAATCAAGACTCATCGGACAAGTAAAGGATAAAACTAATTTATTTTACAGCAAAGAATGAAGACCCAGCTGTGCAGCCTTTACCATAAAAGAAAAAAGTAGAAAACCAA